AAGTTAATCATGATGAATGCGCGTAAATCGAATAAAGCAAATCGAGTCTCGTTTGTGAGATGAACTTGTGAATGAAACGGCAAAGCCACTTAATTGGTAAACCTTGTGCACTGCCAAACAAAGAAAAGACTGTTGGCATCCCCAATAAAGGTGGGGAGGTAAAACCTTCCTTCTAAATTCAAAAGTTTAATTGTACACAAAATAAAGATGAGACTCTCAGTTAAGTGTTTGAAATTTGATAAATACAAAATTAAACAGTCATATTATATAAATATTGATATTTATAAAATTAAATATTTTAATTGGTTATATTGTATATTATAGATTGTAATTGTTTGTCATTGTATAACAATACACTAAAGGTGAACGTCCATTTGTCAGCATACACTCATCGGTTGCACGCACAACATGCAACGAATTATATTAAAAATCCTATGATAACATCAGCATAATTCCGATGTCAAAATTGACATATGACATCCCGCTGCTGGGGCGCAGACCTTCCCTATGGATGGAATCGAATCAAATCGAAATAGGGAGTCTGGGCCATGACCTACGCGGGCCCAGTGGGGTTTGGTGGGTGTTAACGACCGCAGATGCGACAAGGAATAACGGGTGAACGTGTTTTCCAAAGGTTGGAGCTTGAGAAAATAAATTTTCGGTCACCCATCTTATGGTCAACCATTGCGAAAATTGCTTAACAACCGTATCGCAAGCCGATCGCGCTAGTCACTACGGCATCGAACTCATCTACACTAATACAAATAGTATTAATTAGATATAGGCAGACGAGCAGACGAATCACTTGATGGTAAGTGATTACCGTCGCCCATGGACACCTGCAACACCAGAGGGGCTACAAGCGCACTGTCGGTCTTTGAGGCATGAATATGCTCTACGCTTGAAAGTTTGAAGGTCGTATCGGGCCAGAAATACCGCTGGCGACAAACTGTGCCAGAGGTTGACTGTGCGAGGCAGGAAACTTCTAGAAAAATGCACAGTTGAGGACTTCCAACCATCCAAATAATGGGCGTGGATTTCTTGTCGCGTAGAACGATGGCGAATTCCTCGGAGCATTCCCCGTAGTAAATGCGATAGAAGATGTACAGTGAAGCAACATCTCTACGCAGGGCCAATGGATCAAGCCGACTTGCAGTGTCCCGGCAATCGACGATGCGAGTCGCTCTCCGCCTAATGCGGTCTAGAGGGAGAAGCTGGTATTAGGGTGCCCGTGCCCAAAGATGAGAACAGTATTCCATATGGGGCCGAACTTGCGCCTTGAAGCTGCAGGCGATGTGCTGGAGTGAAATACTGCCTCGATCTACTAAGCACACCAAGCTTCTTAGATGCTAATTTAGCCTTACCCTCTAAGTAACCACGGAACTGGACCTCGCTCGATATGTCGACACCAAGAATCTCAATATTGGTTGAGGCAGTTAGGGGAATGTTTTGAAAGCGAGGTGATACGACAAATGGGGCTTTTTTGGCGGCGAACGCGCAAACCTGTGTCTTAGTAGGGTTGAAATGGACCAAATTAAGTCGACCCCAGTTAGAGACTACCTCTTACGAAGATTTAATATCAGACACAAGTTGATTCCGGCTCTCAATGACGCTTTCTTGAGAGTCCATCGTGCTGTCATCTGCATAACAGTGAATACCGCTAATTTGCAGCATGTCATTAATATGCAGAAGAAAAACTGTAGGTGATAGCACACATACTTGGGGAATTACTACATAATAAAATCTTTTATGGAGGAAAATTTGATTTTTTGTTTATTTGCATTGAATGAGCTTCGAAACTACTGAACCGATTCTAAACATTCTTTCACCGGCTGGAAGCTACATCATACGCGGATGACATAGGCGCGAAAATGCAGGAAAACAACTCGTATACAATGATATCTTTAAATTTTTTTTTTATCATAAGCGCATCGTAATAAAGAAAAATGTTTTACTGATACATATTAATTTTACATTATTTTAGTAATTAGGTAAGGTTACATTTTTAAACATCCAAAACCATTTTTCAAAAATACTTGATATTATTAAAAACTAGCTTTTGTCCGCAACATCGTTTGAGTGGTATCACTATCTACAATAATTTCTTTTTAACCAATTTCAAAAAAATAAAAATATGTTTCAATTTGACTGTTTTCTTGTATTCATATTGCACTATCCTGCTTATATTATAATGGCGAAAGTTTATAGGTTTGGATATCTCCTAAACCATTATAGTAAGATAGTTGAAATTTTCACAGATGATGTATTACATTGCCGCTTCAACATCAAATACTAAAAACTAGAATAAAATAAATATTTAAGGGGGGCTTCCATACAACAAACGTGAGTTTTTGCTCGTTTCCGGTACGGAACCTATCGTGCGCAAATCCAACTCGCATTTGGCCAGTTTTTTAATTATTCTGTCGCTATTGTCAAAAATATTAAACAATTGTCAGTTCATTGTTATATTCACTTTTAAACTATCGAGCTGCATTATTAAATACTTATAATACTGGGTATTAGACACAATTTTACACTGACCACCGACATTTTGGCCGGGTCGCAGCGGCCGTGCTCACAACGAGACTGGAGCCGCAAGTCTAGGCCTCTGCATCCTAAGACGAATCTTCTTCCACCCTCAGATTTTTCATTCAACTACCATCAAAAACAACAACTGTGTCCTTATGAATAAAAAAATCATCATTGGCGAACTTCCCGTGAATATTATTTGTCGGTAAAATATTCTGTCATTGAGTAATATGCTTTTTTGCTCAATTACGCTGCATTTATGTTGAACTTAATATTATTTGTTTCAATTCTAATACTAAAATGTTACTTATTATTATACTGGTTTTTGTGTACTAGTTGAAATTTACCCATATGCAATCCAATTACCTACATGGAAGTGTTATATAAGTTAAATAGTAATTGATTAAAGTAATTTTATAGTCAGGTCCAGTAGGATGTGAGTGTGATAGTGCGCAGAGACAAGCCCAAGCTGATTCCCAAGACTCCTCCGAGCGTACTAGTCTAGAGATGCAAGTTTCATAAAAATATCGATATATATCGCCTACAGTATATAGATATATCGCTTCATAAATATACCGATGTTTATAGATATACTTTTTGGAAATTCATTTAATTAAAAAATCTTGTTTGTAATAATAAAATACGTATTATACGGCTACTAAGCTTGTTCATAATTTGTGTAATGTTGAATTCTATACGCATAGCATAAAGAACTCTCGAGCGTTTTGTTTATACTTAAATATCACCTTTCTTCGGTGCACTCATACGATATCTCACTCTCGATCCAAGAAACGTAACCTATGATGTAGACCTCGATCTTGTCATTTAGGCATTTTACTTTTAAAGAAAGGCATTCAGAAAGCATGCTCCTGATCACAATAGGAAAATATCTTATTGACACTTAATCTATTAAAATTGCGATTAGAGTTTAGTACAAATTGTAATAAATAAAACTTACTATAAATTTCACACAAAATATCATAGTTTCAAAATAATGTCACACGTGTTATTAATGTAATATCACATGTAAAGATGTCGTTGGAAGTTAAAATTAGGACAACTGATGGACACTTACTCTTATGATTTCATTCGATATTAGCTTTCGGTATCACTGATTCTTCGATATCAATATATCGATTTATATTTATATCGTTGCATCCCTAGACTAGTCTACCGAATTGGCTAATAGGAAAGAGTTCTACACGCTGTCGCTCGTCAGGCAGCAGAAATAGTGTGTAACGGATTTTCCCTGTCCGAAATTTAAAAATGCTGAAAATTTTAATTTTATTAGTCACTAAATCCAATTTCACTAGGCAATGTTAAAAAAAATTTTGAATGAGTTGGAGCGGTCGTTGTGTTGAAGTCACGAGTTCACAACTCATCTGCCGTACGTCAGGTAAGCAATAAAACCGCAGTTTCAGTCCAACCACGCATTGTCAAACGAGAGTCAGAATTAATGACACCCCTCGTTTAGGTTTGTTCCGACCTAGCACTAAATAGTTTGCACTCGTCTTGCGAATAAACAGGTATATTTTACATCAGCATCCAAATTAATGGAAGAAATATCATTAACTATATACTGTAAAGCTATTTACATTTTAGTTTGTGATGTGTGTGAATACAGAAACTTATTAACATATAAGTCTCGCGGTTTACGGTACATTTCCAGACTTGGGATTTGGGCCCTAATCGTAAAGTCCCTTTGAAATGGTTTTGATTAATTTACATCATTTTCTCTAAATTTTCAGTGGAAACTACAACCCAACGACAACCCAGGTAGGGATGAAACAATATGAGTAAAAACAATTACTCCCTCGATACTTTTCTTTCCATCCGAGTACTTTTCCGAGGCTTCGATACTTTAGAACCGAGTAACAAGTAGTATCGTAAAGTAAGTATTTGTATCGGTACTTGGTCGGTCACTCACTGAGGAATATCGAAAACTCCCTTAGATAAAACTATTTATTCTGCGATAAGGTGACTAATGTCTGTCTCATGAAAAAGTCCCACAGGCACAGGGTCCCTCTCCCTATCGTAGAACTAAGCATTGCTAACCCCTACTTATTTTATATAGTTGGTGATTCTTGAAAACTCGAACTTCCCATTTGAAACAAAAAAAACTCTGATTGATATATACTTTTTTTAATCGGTGACATCAGAATCTGCTACAATATCAAATTCTATATAGATTTTTAAATATCAGTGAAGATTCATTATTTTTTAAGAATAATGACTTGACATGACTGATGTAACAAAACGGAAGTACAAGTTTCCGAGAATCACCCGGTTAGAGATTTATCTAGAGGGAGGGAAAATTTATAAATATTTCAGTTTAAGAAATATTACGAAACAACACCCACTCCCTTCACCGAAGCGAAGAGTGAACGATCATCATAGACTGATGACAGAACGTCACAGCCTACCTCACGCTCAGGGCACCGCATGGCGTATCCTCATCACAATTGTTCGAACCTCACATAGTGTAGCGAAAAATGTACCTACTATAGAACTGATTCTATGAAGTACGGTCTTGCTGATCAACACCGTCTCTCGAGATGTATGATAACCAACTCTATTTTAATTTTGATGTCGGGTGCGCAAAAGCACCGCGTGCAAACAATGACCACGTTCACACTATCGTTTGCTATCATTATCGCTTAGAGTACCAAAGATTAGTAATATTTTCAAAGGTTAATTTAATCATGGTACAATTTTCTATGATACAATATCTTTATGGTATTATGATCATAAGACAATTTCTTTATTCTCCTTAATTTTTTCACATGTCTTAACAATACAAGCTTTTATTATTGATAAGTTTTCAGTCGGAGTAAGGTTTTGTTTTATTTTGCTATCCACTACGTAATATTGCTGTAGCTGTCATTCACCTAAAGAACACTAATAATATCATATCAGTAGGAGAATCTACTGATGTTGGAATTAAAGCGCCTACAATAACTTACTAATAAAAACAATAAAAACGCATACTCCACTTTTGTGTAATGTACATTTTAAAAACATGTAGATTTTGTTTTTTTTTTTTTCGATTTATATCATTGTAGTTTTCACATTACATGCGTTAGTTACCATCAGCGTGGTTTTTATTAGTCATAAAACTCCAGCATAGAGCTTGTAAAATATTGTACAACATATCTACTAAGCTATGAACTTTTCCGATGGATTATAATATTATTATAGTTAGGTATAAGCACTAAAAACCCGACGAGCTCCTTGCCGTAAGCACAACAGAAATATTTGAAAACCTAAACCATGGTGGCATAGAAGAACAACCCGGAGTCCGATCTCTACGGTAACTTGGAGTAATAATGTTCTGGAAAGTTGCTTCTTTCAACAATGTGCTTCAGTTGGACGCCGCTTTCACATCGAGCCACCTGAGAAATTACTTCCAAGTTTTATTACTTGGGACTTCCATGCGGAATAATATACCATCTTTGAGATTAAAGATGAATCTCAAATTACGCGTTAAGTCGTTAACACTTAAGTAGGTAATTAATATAAACTTTAATGAGCGCTTTGCAGATATTTTACTATTTTAAGAATGAAAATAGCTCCCTTTAATTTTGAATCATTCAAACAAATTCTCCGTATAATATGAACAAAACATATTTCCTAGAGATCAGCCGATTATACTTTATGATGTTGAGTCGTCCCCGAGGAGTCTTTCAAATACTCGAGTTGAGCTCATATTCATTTATATCATGCTATAACAAACGACAATTACCTACTGTGTGCAGATACTTTTTCAGACTATGTATAGTCAAAGATTTTCTGGATAAGACTAGCTTTTCAGTTAAATCTTTTCTATTCAGATAAAGTTACATAAGGGCAATGATGTAGCGGCGTACTCCATCCCATTTATTTTGCCAATATTGATAAATCGAATAGAAATAACTTTTAAGGTAATGGGTGTGTCCATATTGTTCTGAATAAGGATGAGGGTATATAGACCGTTTTCGAAAACGGAAAGAATAAAGTTATCGTTAGCCAAAATAAAATAGAACCAACTAAGAGTATAAATGTATCAATTTTATTACACGTCATGAATATCGTACAGGTCTATTTTCTGTCGCTTTATCCGACACCAACCCAATATTTTTTTTTTATCAAAAAACTATCACACTATTCCTCTGAATACCGTGCGTCATCCTGTCCTCGTCGACACATAGCGCCGTGTCGCCAATAATAACGTGCGACAACACCGCCGAATTTCCCCCGAGCGCTATCCACAACAAACCGCAAGAAGAATAACCGACTGAATGCAAAATGAAAATTATCATACAAATTCCCTTTTCTTATATGAACCGAGGTATTACTGTCGCATTGTAAGTATGCAAAAATATGGAAGCAAACTCCTTTGCCTTTCAGATGTTAAGGCGAAAATACGCGCGGTTATATTGGCTACGTATTTCGCACGCGTAAATTTCTACCAGAGCTAATTTGCATTTTGTTATTTTAATAATTTGCGAGATCTACGAATTCGCTCGTTACATTTCCATGGACTTTCCTTTTTACCGTTCTATTGTTTTAATCAATGAGTATTGCCTACACTTTATCGAAATGATTTTCATAAAATGTAATAATTAGGATCCTATTTTTTAAGAAAAATAATAGGGTGTTTAAAATTATATAAATACATTAGAAAACAATGTTAACTTTTATTACGCTGATCTATACCAATCATATCAAGAGGAAAGATTAGTTTGTTTCTGTTTTTTAAAATTATTTCACCTATGGGTATAGCTACATCATATGGGGTTTACAAAGCCTATAATTTAGGGTAAGGTGGGCACAGTGTGACACTCAATATCTCCGTCTCTTTTTACCATATCGTTATCGCTTAGACCATAGGCTCTAAAACATTTTTTTCTCGTATACCATTTTAAAAATTTACTGATTTCGGTGGACACACTGCTGCTACATTTTTACCATATTCCCAAAATTCGTCCAAAATGTGAAGATCTAACAATGGAAATTGGCGTCGCGGGTGAGTTTCAACCCTAAATTCGGAGTGGTAAAAATTAATAAAAAATAGTATATTTTCTTGCGATCTATTTATTGAAATAATAACAGACTTAATAGAATTAAAAGGAAACACTAATAACGTTACATAACTTCATCAATAATATAAAAAAAAAACATAATTTTAATGGGAGGAAGGTACTTGATGGATAGACAGCAAATTATCAATATTTGGCTTCAGTTTTGTAAGGATTAATCACAAATCTCCCCGTTCTGTAATGTTTAATCTGCTCTTTTTTTTTTGTTAATAGCTTTGTAACGACACTAAAACTTTTTAAGACAAGGTATGAGGAGGGAAACGCTGACTTATAAACCCACGATAACGTCCGACCATGGCAGGAGCTCCATCTGTTGCCTCCGAAATGATGTTTGTAAATGGAATCGATTTTTCCTGAAAAAAATCACCCAGTAGCTTAAATATTGATTCATCTTTAGTGTCCGTCTCTAAAGTTTTTTCGAAAAGCAGCTCTTCATGGATTTCTTCGTCCATAATAAATCGAACGTATGCCAATAATAATGCTTCATTACCAAGTAAAGTTGACTCGTCCAGTTGAATAGAAAAATGAGTTGTTTGTAGATAGAACATGAGCGGGTCGTTATGGTGTTTCAATAAGATTGATTTAATCTAAATATTTTTTAGCCATACATAATACTGATTTAGTTAACGTTGATTATACCTACGTATTTATTATTTATTTATTTATTTTGTTGTTGTATATCTTATTAATGTCGTTTTTTAATGATGACAGCTTTGAATCTGCAAGTAGTTGTGATAGTGATAGTTTTGCTAGTATACCTTCACTATCTGATTCTCTTAGTTCTTGTTTCTCTGATGTTCCGAAAAATTTCAATGTTGTTCACATAAATGCTCAAAGCATTCCAGCCCATTTTACAGATATGCTGACGAGTTTTGACTGTAAGAACATTCATGCTATTCTTGTCTCGGAGTCGTGGCTTAAGCGTCGTGGAGTCGTGGCTTATATTCCTTTCTCTGTATTGGATATTTCCACACAACCACCACCAGTTCATAGTGGCGAGCACCTTTTTCTAGAGGTTGAGTTGAGGCATTCAAAAATTCTTTTAGGTGTGTACTATAACCCGTCATCGCGAAATAACTTCTTCTCTTCTTTCGAAAGTAAACTGGAACTTCTTTGTCCCACTTACAGTCACACTATTATTATGGGGGATTTCAATACTTGTCTCCTAAAACATGACTCTCGTTCGACAACACTTCGCACAGTTCTGCAATCTTGTAATTTGCATATTCCAATTCTTAATGCTACTCATCATTTTCCAAATTGTTCGCCTTCCCTTCTAGACCTTCTCATAGTCTCTTCTCCTCGGCATGTTGCTAAACATGGACAGTTCCCAGCCGATGCCTTCTCATATCATGACTTGATTTTTCTTTCGTATAAGATTCGCCCTCCAAAACCCAAACCTACAATTCTGTTTCAGCGCAATTTTGGTGGTATCAATCTTGAAAATCTTCGCGAAGATGTCATTAATGCTGATTGGTCAGACGTTTTTAACTGTAACTCTGTGGATGCTAAGCTGGAGTTTTTCATGACGACACTCACTGCATTATATGATACTCATGCACCGATCCATCCGGTCCGAATGAAACACCGTCCTTCGCCATGGCTCACTGATGAGATAAAACGTTTATCTGAGCGTAAAGCCTCAGCCAAAACAAAATACAAATGTCGGCCCACTCCATCCAATTGGGAAAAATATGTTAACCTCCGCAATTACTGCAATAAGGTGTGTAGGAGTGCACAACGCCAATACATTCATAACTCTGTTGAAAACACAGAACCAACAAAAGTCTGGAAATTTTTAAATTCTATGGGCATCGGAAGACAACGTCATTCACCTACTACTACAGGTTTAGATATAAATCAGCTCAATAAAAGCTTTTGTTCCTTGCGTGATTTCGATTCGACAAAAAGTTGAGTACTTTGAATTTTCTTTCATCTCTTCCATGCCCTAATTATTCAACGTTTTCTCTTTGTCAATTCTCCGACTGTGATGTTAAGAAGAGTATTATGTCAGTATCATCTGGAGCTGTAGGTAGTGACTGCGTTAGCCGGAAGATGATTGTTCTCATTCTAGATGAAATCCTTCCACTCATTACACATATCCTGAACCATTCCATAAGCACTGGAGTCTTTCCATCTGCTTGGAAAGATGCTCAAATCATCCCGTTACCAAAAAAAACCAAACCATCATCCTTTGCTGACTATAGACCCATCTCAATCCTACCTTTCCTTTCCAAAGTTCTGGAGCGACTTGTCCATAATCAGCTATCCAGTTTTCTTCATAAGAACCACTTCCTTAATCCTTATCAGTCCGGTTTCCGTACTGGGCATAGTACTGCAACGGCTTTGGTGAAAGTTACTGATGACATCAGGACAGGTATGGAAGATGGCAAAGTTACGGTCCTGTCTTTACTTGACTTCAGTAACGCATTCAACACCGTAGACTTTGATGTTTTGCTCAGTGTATTACGCTCTCTTAACATATCTCCAGTGGTGATTGACTGGTTTCATAGTTACCTGTCTGGTCGCCGCCAGCGAATTCGCATTGGAGAATCTTTCTCAAACTGGTGTGAAATTTCTGCTGGGGTGCCTCAGGGTGGCGTTCTATCTCCATTACTTTTTGCAATTTTTATTAATTCCATTTCCTATCAGTTAACTTCATCCTATCACCTTTACGCAGATGATTTGCAAATATATGTGCAAGCCCCTATAGACCAAATTTCTCAAGCCATCAGTATTTTAAACAGTGATTTAGACCTGATTTGTAATTGGAGTAAGACATATGGTTTGAAAGTCAATCCTCTTAAAACAAAAGTCATCATAGTCGGTAATTCTATAATGACCAATAGAATAAATTTTTCACAACTACCAGCAATTACATTTGATGGTGTACAACTAATCCCGTGCGACAGTGTAAAAAATTTGGGTGTCTTGATTAATAAAAATTTGAATTGGGCACTCCAAGTTGAAGAAGTGAGCCGAAAGGTGTTTGCTGCGGCAGGTTCTTTAAGAAGGCTTCGTAATTTTCTTCCAATGGCCACTAAAACTGCGCTGTCTCAATCTTTATTACTTCCCATTTTAGATTATGCCGATGTCAGCTATCTAGATCTCACTGAGGAGCAATTAAATAAACTTGAGCGGCTTCAGAATTTTTGTATTAGATTTATATTTGGTTTACGCAAATATGATCACGTATCCGCTTTCCGTACTAAACTCAAGTGGCTGCCAATTCGTCTTCGCCGGAATGCACATATTGTTTCTCTTCTTTACAGTATTCTGTTTAATCCTTATTCACCAGCTTATCTTAAGGAACGTTTTAATTTCCTTCATAATACACACACTAGAATTTTGAGGTCATCAGAGAACTTGAAATTGTCAATACCGATGCATGACAGCAAATTTATTCATAAATCATTTACAGTCCAAGCTGCACGTCTTTGGAATGCATTGCCAGAAAATATCAGGCGTGCTCAAAGCATAAACATTTTTAAGGAACTAGTCAAAGAGCATTATCTGTCACTCACTCTGAATCCCGTTTGATTCTTATCTGTCATCTAACTAAGGGCTTATATGTATGTTACATATAAATATATATGTATTATAGAATTTAAAGTATTTATGTATTTCATTTATTCATTAAATATAGGTAGAGATATGATATCTTGATAAAGTTTGAGACACCATAAGCTACCCTAAATCTAATCTAAAGTAATTTTCGTTCAGTTCACAAGGTTGCCTGGAAGAAATTACTTTTTAGTAATAAGGCCGCCAATTGTGCATTCACATTTATTGTATCCTTATATTTGTTTCTGTCCATTGGTGTACAATAAAGAATTTTTCATTCATTCATTCATTCATAATCACACAAGAAACTTTCAATTACAGAGCTCATTTCATCAATACGTCTTTGTAGTGTTGTTACTTAAAGGAATTCTTTTACGTGAAGGCATGTGCAAAACAGTTTTAAAACCTCTTCAACAACGAGTAAAATTAATTGTCCTCCGATGGTGCGCGGTTTCCCAGATTTCGCAATAAGCGATGAGATATTGTAAGATGCCCGCAAGCCATCATGGTTACTTTGAGACGTTGAAGTGAACATATTGTGCACGGTGGGTCTCTTTTCATATTTTTCCTTCAATGTTTTAAAATATTTTAAATCTTTACCTAATTTATCAGGATGACACCTTCTTACAGGACCGGCAAACACTGACATAAATTCACGAACACTTTTCTCTTCAAAATTCCGGAAACAAATGCGTAACGTTTGTCTTTGGCATTCGTATTTATATTGGTGAAGAATCAAACATGTTCATACAAGATTGTAAGCACAGCAGAAGTAGTATTTCGTAGCAAGAAATACTACTTCTGAAGTAGAATTGAAAAAGCAAGTTTTTACAAGTAACACACGCTGACATTCTTACAATATTATCGCCTACCTGCACATTGATATGTAGGTAAAGCCAAGCCAACATTTTTGTTCTTTACTATCGAAACCAGATAATTTTAATATTAGATTAATATTAAATTTTCGTGGACCCCACTTACAACGTGTGAACCCCTATTTTTATTTCACGCCAACGTAGACCCCCGTTGAATCCCTCGTGGGTCCCTGGGGGTCCACCTGGACAACTTAGGGAATCACTGGCTTAGACAAATTTCAGACAAGCGCATAAGACGCCATATTGGAACACTTGTTAATTGGATTCTGATTTGCGCACTGCAGAAATTTAACGAAAAAAGTGCTTTTGGCCTATTTTTTTCTTATAAATTGCCAGTATTGTTTTCGTTCTAAGGCGTTGATTGATGGACTTAAGTAAGTGAATGTTTTTTTTTTCTTGAAAAGCCATGTATTTGTAGATAAATACGCGTAAACAATTGCCGGTATCACAACCTACAAATTATTTTCTTCAATTGTTTGTTTTTTGAGCCTATGCCAACATTTTTGTTATTTACTATCGAAACCAGATAATTTTAATATTAGATTAATAATAAATTTTCGTGGAACCCACTTACAACGTGTGAACCCCTATTTTTATTTCACGCCACCGTTGACCCCCGTTGAATCCCTCGTGGGTCCCTAGGGGTCCACCTGGACAACACAGGGAATCACTGGCTTAGACACATTTCAGACAAGCGCATAAGATTCTCTTATTGGTCTGTGGCCATATTGGAGCACTTGTCGATTGGATTCTGATTTGCGAACTGCAGAAATTTAACGAAAAAAGTGCTTTTGGCCTATTTTTTTCTTATAAACTGCCAGTATTGTTTTCGTTCTAAGGCGTTGATTGATGGACTTAAGTAAGTGAATGTTTCTTACGATGTAAGCTACTTACGTAAAAGCAATAAGGTTGATAACTGTATTTATTTCCCGCTTGAGCCAGATTTGGCGGTAGTTGGAATAGAAGATGTAGAAATTGTTTTACCTGAACTTGAAAAGTGCAAAAAGCCTACATAACTAGCTCAATTTTTTTTTCTAAAAATACTTTTAAAAAGTATAATGTGCAATAAATCTTATTATTATAAACAAGTTTTCCTAGAATAAGTAATGTCACAGAGTACCCCATAGTATGTCACATTGTACCCCGGATCCGGGGCAGTCTGTGACAATCGACAGATCTCAAAAGTGTGCAGTTTAAAAATACTTTTAGTTATTTTTGATATTGTTTTTCATTGTCAAATGATAGTTTAAGAACTGTTGATTATTTTAAGACTAATAGAAAGTTCCTTTAATGAATATTTTCAGACTTATAGTACAATTTATCTTTTTTGTCACACTGCGCCCTACCTTACACTACGCGTACAGTCGCGTTAATACAGCTAGAATTAATATAATAAGCTCTGATACAATGGACTGATTTTTAAAATTCTTTCACCTAACGGGTACCACCACCGTAGCTACATAATACGGTGTTGTCATAGGCAATAATTTAAGAGTTTAAAGTCGCACCAAAACAGTTTAAATATTACTAATCGGACTATAGGAATGGCTGTTGTCGGTCTCGAATCAACAAAAAATAAATAGGTACACACACCAATTATGTAATAATATTAAAAACAAAAAAAAAAATATCGAATACATGTAAGTAATCGTATTTTCACTTACTAGTACATTACACACTACTCTGATGATAATAAATAACTCCAGTGTGGTAGTGCAAGTGTGTGGTCATTGTTTGTTTACGTTGGCGCTGATTGTCATAAACGGTAAATAAGTTAAGATTTACTCGTTTTACTTAGAACTTCGCAATTCATAACGAGAAGGTAAAATCCACCACAAGCTAATAGTAATAATAATAAAACAACAGTAATAAATTTTATAATATATTTAATAATTCAACGAAAATAAAAATGTTAGTTGTTCTAGAGTATATTATGTTTTTCTGTATGTACGATTAGTTATTAAAACTAAGTAAGTACTTACGTTATTCGTGTAACATTGAAATACAAACTATTAAAATATATGTTTTTTGTATAAAATAAAGGTATAATTAATTGAAATTTTTTCAAATATTTATTAAATGGAATAAATCTTATATATCTAGATATGGAATATAATTTTAAATACTGGAAAAATAGCTTTGGTATTTGAAATATTAACATTACTAGCAACTACTAAATTAAAGAGAAAATTAAAAAAGTATCAAACTCATCGTTTGTAGGTATTATCTATAATGGCAAAATAGCAACCTAATTCTTAAATTTAACATTAATCCTTAATTAAAATTAAATCCATGTTAACGAGATTACAAAAAAAAATATAGGAATAGCTGATATATTAATATTACATAAAGCATTTATAAAAAAAATATCTAAACGTTATTGGAAAACAATATATTTCGCAAACAGTACTGCACCATTATATTTCTCTTGTGGTTAGTAAATGAAAGGCTATAGATATTTTTACTATAGAGACTCATCATTACAAATTGTATGATAGCTCGTATAAATTCCTAATTTTCCACATACAGGGTAATACAGATTTTGTGGTTCATTTTGATTGGTCGATAGAACAATGACCCGTGGTCGTAAATGAGCCATTAAGCTGTTTTATATTATAGCCACTTGGTGCCGCGCGAACACTTAGTGATAGCTGTCATAGATAGAAACAGACAGTATTATACAACATCGTTCATAGAAAACGTCAATGGGTAGGGAGTTATAGTGTTACTATTTTATTTAAATTCTTATCAACATATCATATCTGTAGTAGCAAAAGCGTTGTCTCATTACAATTTTGGTATATATGAGAGCGAATATTATAGGTATGTATATCTAAAAAAGCACAGAAACGTGCAAAGCAAAGGTATTTTTGTACATACAATAAGGCTAAGACCGCACTGCGTATCTAGCTAAAAGAGATAACGCATACATTGCAGATCGCCAAATCAGGCTATATAGTCTGTAAACTGCGTTTCATAGTCTGTAAACTTATTTCCACGATATTGTTTACATACGTAAATAAGGTTACTGTTTATTATTTGATTATTATTGCGCGATGAATTGATATTCAGATCCTTTGATAAATAAAATTGTAAATTTCTTAAAGGGGCAATTCCATCAACGCCAAAATAATAAAAAATAAATAACCACAGTTACATATAAATATATATAGGAATCCGAACGACCACCGCACCGACATTCATTATATCCTGTGATCGAAAGAGGTCAAGTTTTAAGCAAAAAAATAATCGAGTACGAATCTTATCAAACGAATGTAAAATTTTTGTATTGATACTTGCGAATCGCTAGACAACTCCGCAATCGATAATCCCAATACAAAAATTTGACGTTTCTGCTCGATACGAAATCAGTTGGCACTCTGCAGATTAACTAATTGAGAGACACAAATCTAGAACTCGTCGTGTCTCGCAAACGCTTCCCCAAAGTCTGTGGCTTGGGAGCCAACGAATAAATCATATTTGTCGACTATCTCCTGCTTCGTGAGTCTTTCGTCTGCATCCGCGTCCGCTTCGAACACTAGATGCCTCGCCTCAGCTTCGGCGTGGTCGAACTCGGGCGGCGCTATCCATTCCTTCACTTCGTCCGCGTCCATGTAACCGTCCTTGTTGGTGTCCCTATAACAAAACATTCGTTAAAACTCACGATTCGACTTGACATCCTGTCAAATAGTTATTTGACAGTATACAAATTAAGAATTAATTATTGAATTAAATTGGATATTGTTAAATTTATAATGTGTTAAAAATTGTATTTAAAAATAATTGTCTTTAGCTTTTTCAACTTGCTATTTATGCGTGAACCGTTACTAATTAAATAATTCGACGCTGTTAAACAAACACGTAGTAACCTGCAAAACCGAAATAAATATTAGGAATAGACTTAGGAACAACATATTTATTACCATGGACGTTTACAAGAATTATTTTTGAAAAAAAAAAAGTTTTTCTTCTCTGAAAAACAATTTTGGTTTTGCGGGTTACTACGTGTTTGCTTTGCAGCGTCGATATACACATGCAACTTTGATTGTATATCCTTTTAAGGTAAAATGTGGTGAGACAGTGTACAACTACAATAACATGTAAACATTTCACAATAAATAAATTATTATTATCAAAGACGCATTTAAGGACTTGGCCGCCCTATAGGCCGTCATATAGTACTTTTCTCAGCTCCGTATGCCTGCATTAATTCAAAAGTTTACCTTTTAATAGGGGTTAAAGTATGAAATTGCCGATTTGTACTGAAAATCAAAAATTTTTTTTTTAATTTTTTCAAATTTATTTAATCAAAATAGTTACCATTATTATCTATACATTGCTGCCATCCAATGAGAAGGTCATTTATGCCTTTGCGATATAACTCTGAAGATCTAGACTGCACAAACTGTGTGAAAGCATTTCGTACTGCCTCCTGGGAATAAAACTTCTTGTCACGTAGATAATTGTCCAAATCACGACAACAATGGTAATCCGTTGGAGCAAGGTCTGGCGAATACGGAGGATGATGAATGGTTTATAACTGCAGTTCCTGAGGGGTCAAAACGGCTTCTCGTGCTGTATGAGATCTCGCGTTGTCATGGAGCAATAATGGTGAAGATCGATTCATGAGTCGGGGCTGACCACCAAACAGTTACCATTACCTTTTCAATGATAAGATTTGCTTTAGAACACTGTTGTGGCGTTTGACCTGGGGTCAGTCATTGCATTTTTCTTTTACGGTTATCATAAAGAATCCACTCTTCATCACATGTCACAATTCGATCCAATATTCCTTCATATCTGTACCGATTCTACAGGGCAACACAAATTTCAACAAGCGTTTCTATCTGTAGATCAGTCAAATCATGAGGCACCCATTTTTTGTATTTCTTTTTTTATTTTATTGATTTGACGCAAATGAGTTAATATTTTGGGTAAGGTAACAAACCATGCTGCTAATTCCCGGGGAGTTTGACTAGGATCAGCTTCCATCATCTCTGTTAAATCATCGTTATTCCCCTGTGCAGGCGGTCTTCTTCGTGGCTCATTCTGCAAGTCGAAGTTTCCATCACGAAAGCGTTTAAACCAAAATCTCATGCGTGTTCAATCTCAACCAAAATCAAGTGCGTTCATTAGCAGACCCCTCTCCAAACGCAACATTGATATTAAGGGTTGTTTTTGCCGCGTGACTTCCGCGTCGGAACTCGTATTCAAAAATCACTCGAATTTTCGCAGTATCCATATTTCTTGTCTAAGTTGAATAACAATAACAAAAACAATTGAAAGTCGATATTCAAATGTTTCACAATTTTTAAAAGAACATCATAGAATCCATATGAAAAAAGTCTCGTTCGAAAACCTCAATCCATGAAGATTCTATGTTAATTCAAGGAATCTATTACAATAAAACGGCAATTTCATACTTTAACCCCTAATATAATAAACAAGTGATAGCATGTTTCATCATTCGGGCCCAACGGCTTAACATGCCTTCCAAAACCCTTGCAAAACTTGCGTATAATCGCCTTCTTTCAAAGTTGCCGTCTATTAGCTTGTGAATTCCCTTAACATAATAATTATATATAAGAATTTCAAAACTAGAATGCGTATAGTTTCCTTTCCAAAAAAACAAATTCTGTTCAAAGTCAATATCTGACCTATTTAAAAACATGAATCATTATTAAACAAAATCTTCTTTAATTGTAACACTAACTTTCTTTATATATATATAAAACTTCCTCTTGAATCACTCTATATACTTATTAAAAGCGTATTAAAGCCTTTGTGTAGTTTAAGGATCTCAACATACTGTTTCTATTGGCAAGATCAAGTTTTTTTTTACAGAACTAATCACCATCACGTTCTACCAGAACAAATTCCTATTTTTAGTAAATTCCTATTATCTTATCAGATAATTAATTGACTTTTATCATTATTATTCCTTTTTAAAGGGGAGTCCCTTTATAGCGGATTGCCACTATCATATTCGAACATGTACAATATAAAACTTGACACTTCCTCAATCATAAACATTAAGATTAAGGCTCAAGTGTTTTTATCGTAAAATTTATCAATGTGTAATAATATTTATCAATTTTAGCAGGCGTATTAACAAAAATAAATACAGTTTGACCACTTTGGTAAAAGTTACCACTAAACAAAATCATTTATGTAAAAATATGAAACCCAATTGACAATGGTGTATTGGTGCGTCATGTCACACCGTTTATTTTGTCTTTAATTTCCGCATCCAAACTTTTTTGTCTTTGTTCTATGACATCGTTTCTTTTTTATTATTCATTTTTCGTAATTTGAAATTTTGAGTAACGCGATATGCTTTTTCTGAATGTCAGTTCGTGAAAATTCTTCTACCAGTACATATATATCATTAGATTTTAATTAAAAAATATTTAAGTAATCTGTTAAAATCAAAAATGTTTAAAGTGAATATGTAATAAAATTTTCAGTGTGATATATTTAACAAGAAAAGCAAAAAAGGGTTATGTAATTGTTTTATTTAAGTACCTTCATAATCTTACAGATCCATAGGAACCGTTTTTATTTTCTTCTCTTAGTTGTTACAGTTTTTTTTTTTTAATATTTATGCCATAAATATACTTACTTATCAAGCTTAGTCAGCCATTTAATTTTCTACCAACACCTAAGCATCGAACCCGTCACAGTAGTATTATCAATGCCGCCATCATTTGATAATATGGTTACCATTTAGAAGACCGATACTATCGTTATGACTTAACATTCGATAATATAAAATGAATTTCTATTACTAATATATTTCAAAACACTACTAACAACATCACTTGTACAAATAATGGATGATTCCCTATTCTTGTCTCATACTGTGTCCTACAAAATACTTCTAAATTACACCTGTAGCCAGTGAACTGTTCTCTCTCCTGCTTCACCCAGTCAGGTTCCTCTTCATCTTCACCATCTTCAGTCTTGTACAAATCACCGATGTACTCATCGATAGACACTTTACCATCCTAAAATAAAACGATAAAATGTTATACAAGTAGTGAAAAGACTGGCGTATTCTAATTATTTCAGATGACTGCTCGTAGCTTTGAGTCATCTATATGAATTCACTCATTTTACTCATGAAGGAATTTACTTCAAATTGACTACTTAATTGTTTTGGGAAAAGTATTATAAAACGTTCATAAAATCATATCAGAATGAGGAAATATTAAAAAAAAAAACGAAAGCACTAAAAAAGCACCTACACTAGATGGAGACTCTAGCAAAAGTTGATTCTTGCAGGAAACGAATGGACTAAAGACAGTCATTTCCATTCCTTTTAACTAACATATTAAAAAACTGAAATTTGAAAAGTTCGAAACTTATATATCAATACAAATACGAAAAAGTACAAATAGAAAATGAGTTGTTCATTGAGTTTTGAAAACTAATTTACTTTTAAACATGAAAGAAAACCGGAAGGGTTGTCATGGAGAAATCAAGAAAGTACCGTAGCAACATCTAGTTTGATTTCGGGAACTAATGTTTTTTTTAAATACTTCCTCATTAATTTTATCCAAAATGTGTTATTAAAAACAGGAATTTTTTTTTTTTTAATTTCTTCATAATTTCACGATGTCACATGAAGTTCCGTCAAGTCGACCAGCATTTATGTAGTTCATGTAATCCGTAGATTATTTTAAAACAAAAATACTACATAGCTTTTGTTCACATATAAGTTACCATTTCCAATATATTTCATAATTTATTGTTATAATTTTCAAATAACCAATTATGTAAAAAAAAAATCTAAGAAAAACTCACATTATCTTTATCAACATCCTCCAATGTCTCAAGAACAACAATGTCCCTCATACCAGTGTTTTCCTCTGGATGCAAAAATGCAGCAAACTCGGTGCGATTCAACGCATCATCCTTATCGGCATCTGAAAATTATAGGATTTTCGGCATTAAGGGGTTACTTTGGTCTACTGAAGAACTACATAATGATAAAATATATTATAATCATTAATACTATTCTATTTTTCTCTTCGATCTGAGTGGCTTCTGTCATTTTTCACAATTTAAGTGAAAGTCAATCTAACATGGTTTGAGATTAAAGTAACTTATGTATGTATGTACCGTTTAAGATATCTGGCAACAAACTACAAAGAATTGATAGTGATTATTGATAGAATGAATATTGATAGGTGATTTTGGGTTGAAAAACAACCCTTGAATGAAGTACTGTTCATTGTTGAAAAACACTTAAACTAAAGTGGTATAAAATCATCAATTAGCCAGAGTAAATATTATTGTAGTATTGTAGAGTAGCTCGGTGGCGTAGAGGATAAGCGCCGCGGCCAGAGATCGTTGTTGTTAAGCAACTTTCGCAAAGGTCGGTCACGGGATGGGTGATCGAAAAATTATTATCTCGAGCTACTTCGTGCTTCGGAAGGCACGTTAAGCTTTTGGTCCTGGCTGCATTTGCAGTCGTTAATACCCTCCAATCCGCATTGGGCCAGTGTGGAGGGTCATGGCTCATCCTCCTTAACCATCCATAAGGCCTGAGCTCCTGCAGTGGGGACGTAAAAGGGCTGATGATGATGATGATGAAATATTATTGATGCTAAAATTAATTCTGTAAAATAGTAAATCTTGGTCAAACACAACTGTACTAACCTGCATAATGCCACCTCCTTCTGTCTCTCTTCAACAAGCTGGAATATGTGAAGCCTTCACTATTAGGAGTTTTGAGTTCCTTGGGGTCCATTTCATCCATAAATCCATAGACATTTTTTCTGTATGTCTGAAAACATATATTTTTACTTATATTTAAGATTATGAAATATAACCACTATTAACCTATTAGTCATAATTACAATTTTGTTCATTTCTGGAAAGAGGATGGTGATAAAATCACTTGCAATATTTAATAGGTTGACAGCTAGTAATAAAGAAACTAAATGATCCCTTTATTTATTTAATTTTTGTTTCACTGATTTAGTTTTCCTGCCTGGGTGGTTGTTAAACAATGTCCTAGGTATTTAAAGAACCTTGATAAAGTTATGTATTTTAAAATTCACACACCGGCTTTGCAATTCTTCCTACGTTACAGGCAACTTACTAATTATTATACATATTTCAACCTACCCAATAATTTTTTTAAAGGTATTTTTTTATTTGAAATATAATTTAATTATTGCCTTACTGCATCCTATTGCGAAACTAAATTTGCGGGAATACCTTCCAACTTTAAACCATAACTTTTGAAGTTAGTCACTATCTTAAAGAGACACATACTTTGTGATTAAAAGAAACATTTTGTTTGCTTTACCTTGTCATTAAGGTAAAGCAAACAAAGTGTTTCTTTTAAATAAAAAGGTGGCAACCGCTCAGAAATATCATTATGTTAATTACTAACCTCCCAGGGAATACTGTCTTCATTCTGAGGATTATGTTGTCTCCAATGTCTCTCCACATCTTCATCAATGTAGCGTTTCTGGGTATACCTAATCCAATCTTTCAACTCCACTAGTGTTACAAAACCATCTTTGTCGGAGTCAATTTTATCCACTATAATTCTAGAAAAAAGTATATAATATCATTAGGTCAAGTAAAATATAGATAAAAAGGTCAATGAACAATAACCATCAAATATTTAGGCACAATAAAATAATCATTTGATACGAATCTGTTTTCAAAGTGTGTTGGAGACAGAACTCTTTTTATAAATTTCTATGTTTGATAGTCTATGAAGAGACTTTGATGTATATTGATTTTGTTCTATATCAATGTTTTGATTGCTTTATTAATGATACTATGCTATAACAAACACCCATTTTGTGAGCATGTTAGGTTTTAGTAGATATCAATCAGTCGTTTTATTTTCTCTTCAGTACTGCCCACACACTCTTGTCACCCTTGCCATTATCAAAGTGTCTTACTACTGTATATAACAATTTTGGAAATAACCTTTTGTAGAAAAAGTCAATTTGCATTAATGTTCAACATGATTGCCCTGGGAGAGAACAGAATGTTAGGAAAAGGAAAGGAAGTAGAGGAAAAAACTGAACTGGGACAAATGTTAGAACAAGATTGAGTATGTATGAAGAGAGTGTAGTGCAAGAAATAAAGGAAGTAAGTATTAACGTCAAAAAGAGACAAGAGAAAATATTAGGAAAATTGGAAAGGAAAGAATACTACCAAACACTACACCTATAATAAAGTGCATGGGAGAAATGGAAGAGCATTTGGAAGGGAAAATAACCAGTATGAAAGATAGAGTAATGGATCAGGAAGGGAACAGAAAAAGTAATACAAACAAACACAGAGACAAGAAACCACTGAAAATCGCAGAAAAAGTACTATATGCCACATATGGACACATATGCGAATAAGGTAAAGGGCTACAAACATCAAAAGTCAACCACCCTGCACTCAGTAATGGTCTCATCCTGTGACCAAATGGATACTGCTGAAGATCTAATAATGAAAGCAAAAGAAGTCCTAAAACCGGACTGAGTCGCAGGGAAAAAGACAAAATCAAAGAAATCCAGGACAGACTAAACAAATGCAAGGATTTGAAAACGGAGCAGGTTAAGAACAAAGACTCACTGCTATTAATAATGGATATCAAATATAAAATGACTGATAGCGAAATAACAGCAGTGCTACAAAACCAAAACCTGGACATATTCCAGGAAACTTCAGAGAATGAAAATATAATAAAAATCAAATACCGTAGAAAAACTAACAACATGGAGCAATGTCATATAATAATACAATCCAAACCTGGATTATGGAGAAGAGTAGTAGCCTCTACATTGAGATGGAGAGGGTGAAGGTCGAGGACCAGACACCCCTCATCCAATTTACGAAGTGCCTCAACTATGGGCATGAGAAGAAATTTTGTAATAAAACACATGCATATATACGAAACAAAATACACCAGACTTGACACACAAACATAAATAGAATAACAATCATAAGTAGGATAAGTTAGTTAGTTATATATTAATTTAAAATATATACACAGTGATATGAATATGTATGTAGTAATATGAATAAAAACAAGGAACAAGAAATAAACAAACAAAACAAATAAATACAAGACAAGGAATAAACAGGATAGCAATAAAAAAATAATAGAATATAGAAATATGTAAGATAATATTATAGGAAAGCAGAAAAATAAAATAGGACAGACATAAAATAAAGCAAAGAAATAGAATAGGTAACAAACTGTATTATAATTAAGCAAATGTAATAGAATAAGAAAGCAATTATTGTATAACTGATTAGAAATAAGAAAATGTAATATAATAAGTAATAGTATTATAATTTATTTAATTTATTGTATTATATTTTCCAATATAATATATTGGAAAAATATATAAAAAGAATTAACATAGAATAAGTTATAGTATTATATAAAGAATAACAAAAAGCAAATGTAATAGCATAGAAACCAACACAATGTACTGGAAAAGCAAATAAAATTAATAAACATGGATATAAACAAACCAGCAAATAGAATAAGAAAATAGGATAAGAGCAAAAATGTGCTTTTATTACCCAAACTATATAATAAATAAAAAAAAAATTATATAGATAGATAGAAGTAGGAACCGCAGTCCCAGCCGTAAAGGAATGTAAGAATGATGGATAAAAAAAAATCAGGTATGAGGAACAAAAGACTGTATATAGCGATAACTGGAATGAAAGAAAAATGAGAGTAACTAGAGCCTGCTAATGAGTGGGGACAAAGTAGGACGCTCTGCCAATATATGTAAGGCCGGGCAATTAAAAATTAAACATGATTTCCCAGGTTACTTTTGATACTAACTATCCAAAGATCCCTTCAAAAGTCTACAGAGGGGACCTTATCTTTCTTCATACATAAACATTTCAAACAAGTAAAACAATAAGTTATTTAGAGCAAGTTTGAAAGTGATTCATTAATAGGTTATAATAAAATAAATAAATTAAAAAAATGAAAATTATTGAGTCTGTAAGTTAACATACAAAGATATGAGATCAATCATCTCTATTGGTCTTATAGAGGAACTTGCATGTTTTAGTTAGATAAGGAAGTCTTGTTAGTTTATTTAACCCACATACTGTGTGTGTGGGTGATGTTCTAGCTTATAAAAGTGTACAGTAAATATGTTGATATAAATTTGATGATCTAGACCAGCAGTTCTCAAATATTTTTGGGGTAAAAGTTTTTTGGAAACCAAATATCTATATGTTATCACCTCAAGGCTAAGCAGTACATATTTTAACCCTAATCAAAATCATTATCTTAATCAGTATTTCTCAATTTTTGAAACATACAAAAACGCTGTGTTACTATGTGCAATCTTAATGTGTGTGAGTAGCTCGGTGGCGTAGTGGATAAGCGCCGCGGCCCGTGATCGTTGTCGTTAAGCAACTTTTGCAAAGGTCGGTCATGGGATGGGTGACCAAAAAATTATTACCTCGAGCTACTCCGTTCTTCGGAAGGCACGTTAAGCCATTGGTCCCGGCTGTATTTGCAGTCGTTAATACCCTCAAATCTGCATTGGGCCAGCGTGGACGGTCATGGCCCATCCTCCTTAACCATCCATAAGGAAGGCCTGAGTCCCTGTAGTGGGGACGTAAAAGGGCTGATGATGATGAACTCACCCCAGTCGTCTCTTACTCTCTTCTGGAGAAAGCTGATCAAATGTTTTAGCCTGATCTTCACCCAGAAAGGCGTCATGATCGAATTGTTTGTTGTGATGTTCGTTTTTAAAATGTTCAGCATCAGAAAAGTGGTCAACTAATCTCTTCGTTTCCTCTGGACTAGGAACGCCGGCAAACACCGCCGATACCGCGAGCGAAACAAATAGTGTTCTTAACATATTTCTGTAAATAAAATAACCGAATATTTTTGTAAGTTATCAAAATATTTTTATTAAAAAGAGAACACTTTTATTTCGCTTCGAAGTCAAATGAAGTAAGCAAACTAAATTGAACAAATGCAAAAATTAGTCTCCGAGATTATAAAATGAAAACATCTAATCTAATCTCTTGGCAATAAACTTTGCGTAAAATATTTTTTTAATATCTATTTACGTGTAACCCGGAACCTGCCACGTCAACACAATACACGTAAACTTCCTTCTTCACAAAATTAGATCAACATGAAAATAAACTCTGGAGTAAGATTGTGAGCGAGACGCTGGAATTTAGAGCCAGACAAAGAGTAAAATAATAAAACGTTCAAAATTGTATAATTTCTATAAAACTTTCATATAAAACCATAATATTTTCCTTTGTATAAGACCTAAATTTTATTTTTATATAATACAATCAAATTTTTAAACTAAATAATGATGAAGAAATAATGAAGATGTTTTAAATAATCGTAGACTCATTGAAAATTTTAGATTATTCTGTGCCTGGCACAGAAAAAGGACGATTTTCAGTTTAAAGTTTTGAACGCAACGTAAATTGACAGTTGGATTCTTGACACTTGACAGTCACGCTTGACAATAATGACCCACTTACACTTATACTTCGTTTACACGAGCAAATAGCAGAGAAAGTCCAGCGAGCCAGTCCAATATAAGGGCGCTTGTGCACTACACTGAATTTTCAGGTCCGGCGGTCCGATTTTTTCCGGTCCGGAATGACATGAAAAACTCGGATGAGTAGCTTATGCACTTGTCCGTTTTTTTCCTGATCGGAGCAGCGCAGTGTAGGGCAGCTCTCTTTGAAGCTACACGTCACTTACGCTAGGTACGATGAGATTTTTGGAACGTCGGTAATTCCGTTTGAAGACGTAGAAAGGTACCTAAATAATGATCTGATCGTTTTACATAAACCATAATAAATTATGGCAAGACGAATGACCCATTTTTTTTTACTACTATCGGATGACTACTATCAGATGTAAAAACTTATAGCCTTACTAATTTAGGAACAGCATTATTCACATACAATAGTTAAAAATATATGTGACATTAGAATAAAATTACTATTAATGGTCTAGTACTTGATGTTTAAATTTTTAAACGTGCTATTTTTTTTTTTCGAAGTTTTGTAAAAAAAACTTTCAGCGATTACAGAGATAGACCAATCGGTGGCGCCATTTCGTAAACAAATCGAAATTAGTGCCGTGTTAGCGGAGAATCATTATGCTAAATGAACTTTAAGAGATCAGTTGACTATATTATATATAGGCATAATTTTATACGCGTAGTGTAGTTTCTTTGAGTAGAAATATTATTCCCTTGGAATACTTATTTTATTAAATTCATTAATGACACAAACATACATTTAAAATTTTATTAAATGCGAAGAAGACATTGAGTGTCACTTAATTACTTTTGTTAATCTTCTGTTTATTCTTTATTATTACTTCTGTTGTCAAATATTTATCTATATTTATCAATTGTCTAAAAAAACTGATAATGACAAATTTCCAGGCAAACTTTCATCCACTATTTTTCGCGATAAAATGTAGCCTATGTCCTTTCTTAAAGTTAAGTCTATTTACTATATTAATTTCCATTTAGATGAGTTCAGTTGTTTAGGCGTCTAAGCGTAATAACACTTATTTATCTTACCTTAAGCTATCGATACTTTTAATACAATTCTAAAATCTAGCTAAGTATCGATACTAGAACCATACGCTGATTAAATTAGAACTATACCGAGCATATGCCAAAGCATATGCAGTGATATATACCAACTATATTAAATCATCATATAAAATATAGCATTTTATAATCAACAATAAATATCGATTATAAGTTTATTGGAAATTAACAATATTGCCGAAATAAATATCGATTCAAATCGATTATTTTTTCCCAAGCCTATTCCTTATGAATTTTCCGGATCTCGGACGCAGCAGTGCACAAGCGTAAACACGTTTTTCATTGCCGCCATCACGGACCTGAAAAAACCGGTCCGGAATAGAGAAAAGTAAAATTCCGGACGGTAAAATTACTGACAGTGCACAAGCGCGCATTACCTACATAGGGCGCTTGTGCACTACACTGAATTTTCAGGTCCGGCGGTCCGATTTTTTCCGGTCCGGAATGACATGAAAAACTCGGATGAGTAGCTTGTGCACTTGTCCGTTTTTTTCCTGATCGGAGCGGCGCAGTGTAGGGCAGCTCTCTTTGAAACTACACGTCACTTACGCTAGGTACGATGAGATTTTTGGAACGTCGGTAATTCCGTTCGAAGACGTAGAAAGGTACCTAAATAATGGTCTGATCGTTTTACATAAACCATAATAAATTATGGCAAGACGAAAGCATTTTTTTTACTACTATCGGATGACTACTATCAGATGTAAAAACTTATACCCTTACTAATTTAGGAACAGCATTATTCACATACAATAGCTAAAAATATCTGTGACATTAGAATAAAATTACTGATAATGGTCTAGTACTTGATGTTTAAATTTTTAAACGTGCTAGTTTTTTTTGAAGTTTTGTAAAAACAACTTTCAGCGATTACAGAGATAGACCAATCGGTGGCGCCATTTCGTAAACAAATCGAAATTAGTGCCGTGTCAGCGGAGAATTATTAAGCTAAATGAACTTTACGAGATCAGTTGACTGTATTATTTATAGGCATAATTTTATACGCGTGGTGTAGTTTCTTTGAGCAGAAATATTATTCCCTTAGAATACTTCTTTTTTTTTTAAATTTATTAATGACACAAACATACATATAAAATTTTATTAAATACGAAAAAGACATTGAGTGTCACTTAATTACTTTTGTTAGTCTTCTGTTTATTTTTTATTATTACTCCTGTTGTCAAATATTTATCTATACTTATCAATTGTCTAAAAAAATTTGATAATGATATTTTAAAATTTGATATACAATTTTTCGGGTTAAAATGTAGCCTTTGTCCTTTCTTAAAGTTAAGTCTATTTACTATATTAATTTCCATTCAGATGGGTTCAGTTGTTTATGCGTCTAAGCGTAACAACACTTATTTATCTTACCTTAAGCCATCGATACTTTTAATACGATTCTAAAATCTAACTAAGTATCGATACTAGAACCATACGCTGATCAAAATAGAACTATACCGAGTTTGCCAAAGCATATGCAGTGATATATTAAATCATCATATAAAATATAGCATTTTATAATCAACAATAAATATCGATTATAAGTTTATTGGAAATTAACAATATTGCCGAAATAAATATCGATTCAAATCAATTATTTTTTCCCAAGCCTATTCCTTATGAATTTTCCGGATCGCGGTCACAGCAGTGCACAAGCGTAAACACGTTTTTCATTGCCGCCATCACGGACCTGAAAAAACCGGTCCGGAATAGAGAAAAGTAAAATTCCGGACGGTAAAATTCCTGACAGTGCACAAGCGCGCATTACCTACATATGGCCTGACATATCGGACCTGAAAAAATCGGACCGCCGGACATGAAAATTCAGTGTAGTGCACAAGCGCCCATATGGCCTGACATATCGGACCTGAAAAAATCGGACCGCCGGACATGAAAATTCAGTGTAGTGCACAAGCGCCCTTAGACATGTGTATTTGTTGTGATGCTGTTGGGTTGTTCACAATCTCAGAACCTTTTTGAAGTTATAAAACTTTTAGTAGTTTAGGTACTCGTGATAAGATCTAATTTCTTATATTTTCGATAATATGTTTTTGAATTGCGTCAGCGACGTTTGAAGAGCTATAAATAAGCGTGTGCTTATTTATGGCCTACATGAGCGCAAAATTATCAATAAAAGCAAATATTATTCTTAATACAAAATGCTTAAAAAATCCAATTGGTCCCTGGCACCCTGAGATGGGAATCGAACCCACGACCTTTCGCAATCCGGGCGACTGCTCTAACCACTGAGCTACCCAGGACCTAACAGGACTGACGAATCTTTTAAGTACTTGTTACTTTTCACTACTACAGAGCGTGTTCTCATCAATGTTCAGGCATCCACCCAAACAACCGAAATAAATATTGTGACAAATATTTAAACTTTCGATAAAGATGAGAATTTTGTTCTAATTATTATATTTTGATTAATTTTACATTCACAATGCCATACTGAAAATTATTCTTAATACAACAAAATCTCAGAGTGCCACAATGCCATACTAAAAATTATTCTTAATACAAAATGTCTAAAAATCCACTTTGTCCCTGGCACTCTGAGATGGAATGCGAACTCATGACCGTCCGCAATCTGGGCAATTGCTCTAATCACTGAGTTACCCAGGATCTAACAGAACTGATAAATTTATATATTTTTTTCTCTAATGTATGCTACATCTTGAGAACATTTTAATTATATTTTTGAGAATGCCCCGTCAGCATTTAACCCGATAGGAGATGTTAAGAGTCATAGGAATGCTGGAAGCCGGTTTCATGCAGTGTCATCATGTTGCAAAGCTATTCGCTAAAAACAAAGTGTCATCTCAAAATTTAAGTCACGCTGTCATAAATCAAATGTTATAGCGAGACTAATATTCTAATAACTATAGTTTGAACACACATTTCATGCGAGCGACTAAACTATTAGTCGGGAGACGACTATACAAAGCCAACCTTTATCCTCGTAGTCTGCTGCGTTCACCTTTACGAAGTGGAAATCGTGAAAGCAAGCTATAGTAGGTAAGGGAGCACTTGAATTGGATTCACTTTTGTGGCAGTAATATTAAATGTAAGTTTTTAATATTAAATACCTATACTAAATCTTTAGATAAGCCAGTCCACAAAATATTTGTCACTCTATTTCATTGAACTGGCTTGATTACTAGCTCACTGGATTGTCACTGCTGCTGGCCTCGTGTAAATGGACCATAAAAATGACATTAGCCGAAATGTCATTTTACTAGTTTCTACTAAAATTCGATCGGACTGTAATAAATATTTCAAACAAAATTTAATAAATTTACTAGCTGTGGTACCTTTTATTACGTATTGGTATATTTGACTGTGTTTTATTTGATATAGAGAGCAAAGACCAGGTTTGTTAAACTACTTAAATTTTTCTTATGCCGGTAATGTTTGTCAATACCAATGCATTGTTATAGGTATATATGTTTTAATTTGTTACGAACATGCTATTTACTACTGTAATTTAAAATTGTGTAAGAAGAGCATATCTGTGGCGGATATCTAAGATTTAATGTTTAAAGCTAACTAACTAAAATAAACTAATAGTTTACCACAGCCTGGATTATAGTCATAATAACGACATGAAACCTTACCTAATTAAGACAACTTTAGTCGGGAATTGACTAATATAACCAGCATAGACTCTTGTTTTAAGGTCTCTGATTACAAGAAGGCAAGAACTTGCAGCATAACTGTGTAACGGTGTGTCGTACCACCGTTTATTTCATCCTAGGTTTCCACATGAATACTTTTTGTCTTTGATCTTCAACATCATTTTTTTTCATTATTCACTTTTCGTAATTTGAAATTTTGAGTAGTCCAATATGCTCCTTATGAATGTTAGTTTGTAAAAAAATCATCTGGTGAGATGTTCTCACTAATATGATTATTTAATCATATAAATCTAATAATAATAAGTTATTGTTGTGTAATATCTAATAAGTTCTACTTATTACAGAAAACCCAGAATCAGATTTTTCTTATTAGCCCTTAATAAATTAAGTTTTCAAGCTTAGTCAGCCATTTATTCATTTGCCTAAGCATCAAACCCATCACATCTGCATATCTATAGTTAGTTTGTAAGACAAGCTATAAATTTGTCAATGACCCAAAGTATTATGAAAGTATTCAAAGTAAACTATATGTATTGTTTTCACATATTACTGGCTATTGTTGTAGGTGAGTTTGGCAATCTACAGAATCCCAATTCAATTGCAATACTTCACAGAAATTATCCAGAAAATTATTTACACGTATTTTTTACACCATTTACGTTGTCTGTTGTTTCAACCTGCTTTAATAACTGACTATAGATAATAATATTTTTATCAATCCCAGTAGTTATTCTATTTGACCACTCTGATAAAATAACATCAGATAACCACAAAAAAATATTATTTCTTATCAGATATATTTTTCAATTTAATTTTGATTTAGTTTAGTTTGATTTCGTTAATAAATATTGTTACTGTTATTGTAAGTTATTACTAGACTTCTGATATCATAGAATAATTCTATAATCTGGGCTACCAAGACTATCATAGAAGCCTCCAAAAACCAAGTGTAAACATCTGCATGGATGAGGTTGAGCCAATGTGGAAACTTACTTCATCACAGTCTCATGTTTAAATTAATGTTATTATAATTCTGTATTTTGCTTAACATCATTTTTTAATGGGGCATATAATCAAGGTTAAATCTCCCTTAAAATGTAAACCATTAAATATAATATACATGTATAATATTTCATGATTTACATTTTTTTTTACTGTCACTGTTTCAATCTATTTAGATTGTTAATTATCATAAGCCTAATGTTAGGGGACATCATAATTCCAGTCAGATTATAATCTTACTATGCTAATATCATCAAAGGCCAAAATGAGGTAGTCTATGGTACCCAATAATAAAGTAAAGCATAGTCTGGATAATCTAAACTCAGGTGCAAATTAAATATAAGATGTAACATAGGAGATGAGACAATATTAAAATATAAGATTTAACACAATATATCTTTTCAGAACATGGTTGTGATAAGGAGATGTTTTCTACGGATTATGAGGCTACGGAATCTGCTTACTGTAACAGTGATGATTATAATGCTATATATGCTCAAGAGACTTAGTAATACGCAAGTTACAGTTTTGCCAGAAGCTTCTCATTTTCAAGATACTCAAATTGATATGAAATTCCATAACCATGAAAATAAATTAACACACTTTGTACCTATTAGTTTAAAGGTATTGGATAACGACCAGTTGCACATATGTCCATTAAAATTGTCATTAGTTTAAAGAGACTAAGCAAAAAAATTTGACATTTATTAGTGCTTAAACATGTCATTAAACCCTAATGGACGTTTGTGCAACTGACCGTAAATGTATTAAAGATTGGAATGAATAATAAAGAAACTTTTAGTAGCATATTCATGTTCCACTTTCAAACAAATATGCATATATAATAATGTTAATTTAGTTTTACTGATAAGCAATTTTTGATAAGCATAAGCAATAGTATGACTATTTAATGTGAAATTTGTTTTGTATTTCAGAAAAAAGATTGGCATAACTATAGTCAGATAGAACATGAACGGAAGCGTGTGGGTAGGTCATATTTAATAGATAATTGTTTATCTAATGCACTATGTTAAGAAGATTACTTTGTTTCTATAGGTCAGCTCACACAGCGATTTTACGCATTGTAGCCTTACAATGCTAATCAAAATAAGAGTATTTTAAGGGCAGATGAAGTTGTAATTGTTAAAAATCCGACAGTATTGGACATATTGCAAAAATAATGTCTAATGAACAAATTATAATGCTGTATGTGAAGGAATATTCTATCAAATTAAGCTTTCAAGACCAAAATATGTAATAGACATATTATTTTTCACGTTAGAAAAGGCTGTAAAAAGATAGTGATTGTGTTTCCTTTTAACCAACTAAAGAAATAATTGAATGGTTGACTAAAGAAATTTAGATAAAATAAAAAACAAAATGATAAATTGAGATGTATGATTATTACTTAGCATAGTTTTTAGTAAACATTAAAGATTCAATGGTTTTTCAATTTAAATTAATATATTGATATTATATTGTATGAAACAAAGGATATTCTTAATATTACTAAATAGAATATAATTTGTGAGGTGCAGAAGTTCTGCACCTCAGAAAAAATATATGGTATAATATCACTTGGATGTCTGTTTACAATAGTATATTTCTCTGACTATTTGATCAATTGTGTTGAAATTTGGTACTCTTTTATGTAAATTGGTGACCCGAGGGCCTCATTTGGAAGGTAAAGAAAGAATTAAAATAGTTTATCAAATGAAGGGACTTATTGTGAACATATCAAATATATTTTTCCAAAATTTCAAGAAAAAATATTTTGACATTATGTACAAAAATTGTCAAAAATTAACTTGACACTCATTTTATTATAATAATAATAATAATAAATAGTTTATTTCCTTAAATTGCATACATATAACAGTAATGTGGCCAGAATCACCCAGGAAGTGCCTAAAAAGCGCTTGTGTCGGGTGGTTCTGCTCCTCCTTAGGAACTTAATAACAAAATAAGGTTTGCTTAGGTTGCTAGACTATTAAACTATTTTATAAAGGTATATTAGAAAATACTAAAAGTGAGAAGTTATATAAAACAATGCAGTGTCTAAAAAATCTCTCAATCTATACCAATCTAGCCCTACGATATCATATATCTTGGGATCGGATAACCACTAGATCTGTAAGTGTATGTGTGTGTGTGTGTGTGTGTGTGTGTGTGTGTGTGTGTGTGTGTGTGTGTGTGTGTGTGTGTGTGTGTGTGTGTGTGAGTGTGCGCGCGTATGCGTGTGTGTGTATGTGTGCTATTACAAACGTCCGGAGCTTTTTCAAATTTTTGTACGTTTTTGCTGTAAATGCGTATATATGCGATACATATGTTTTATGCTATCCAGCCCTACGATGCGAGGGCGTTAATATATTATATTATTAATGTTCTACCTTATTATTATGAACTTTACTTTTACACAAAATAAGCTAGCTGTTTGTAACTGAACATAACTTTGTTCTTAAGGACCTGGTGAACAAGGTAAGCCTGCAAGCTTGCCAAAAACAGATGGAGCTCTAGAAGAGAAACTTTATTCTGTAAATGGATTCAATGGAGCCTTAAGTGATAAAATACCTCTGAACCGGTCGCTACCAGATATAAGACATCCAGGATGCAGGAAAAAGAAGTACATAGAATCTCTACCTACTGTGAGCGTTGTTGTTCCATTCCATAATGAACATTGGACTACATTACTTAGAACTGCTTTTAGTGTACTATATAGATCACCAGAGCATTTAATTAAAGAGATATTTCTAGTTGATGATGCTAGTACCAAAGGTAAGAATTTTTTATTATATGAAAGTGATTCTGATCAAATCTCTATTTTGATAACAATAAAAACTCTCATTGACAGTCTAGAAAAACCTACTAATGTAACGTTATTTCTGTAATCACTTTTTTGAAAAGAAAATGACGGACTTTTTTTTTTGAAAATAATTTAATGCGATGAAAAATTATTAATTATTAAAAATGTTAAAAAATATTTCGAGTTACACAAGAGAAAAGCCTGAGAGACTTAATAGCTGTCGTAATCTTTGCAAATTACCAAAACTGGATCAACCATTTTATAGTGTATATTAGTTACTTTACTTGGTGCGCCCTGAGGGCGCGTTCACATATAACGTCCGTTTTTACAAGATCCTTTTTAACGGATCCGTCGCTACTGGAGATCGTATTCACATAGAATTTATAGGATCCATGTTAACAGATTTTACACAACATTTACGCTACTGCCTGCCTTTAGAGTAGCTCAGTGGCGTAGCGGATAAGCGCCGCGGCCCGCGATCTTTGTCGTTAAGCAACTTTCGCAAGGGTCGGTCACGGCATGGGTGACCAAAAAATTATTATCTCGAGCTACTCCGTGCTTCGAAAGGCACGTTAAGCCGTTGGTCCCGGCTGCATTTGCAGTCGTTAATACCCTCCAATCCGCATTGGGCCAGCGTGGAGGGTCATGGCACATCCTCCTTAACCATCCATAAGGAAGGCCTGAGCCCCTGCAGTGGGGACGTAAAAGGGCTGATGATGATGACTTTCGTTCTTCAATGTTCGCCTACTTTCTACGAGGCTGGACATTGTCGTGTTGTATTGGTACTATCGTCGTCTGCGTCTGAGGAAGCCCTGGCGTTATTGGATACATCCATTATGGCGGCTGTGTGCAGCTCCCACATCCCGCACACCCACGTGCCTAGCCTCGCACGGTTCGATCCGATAACCGGATCCGAAACACTGTATTACGTGTGAACTGACTCATACAACTACATACGCTAATAACACATACCTTTAAACGGACCTGTAAAACGGATTACTGCTTATTTTATCGGATCTGAAATTTTTACTGGATCCGGAATACTGTATTATGTGTGAACTCGCCCATAAAACTACATATGCTAATAACATACACATTTAAACAGACCTGTAAAACGGACATTATGTGAACGCGCCCTTACTTTTACTTAGATTACTGTACTTTTCTTTTTCCAGAATTCCTCAAAAAGGATCTTGATGATTATCTGTCAAAGCACATGCCAAAGGTGAAAGTAGTACGAGTTGCTAACCGCAGTGGGCTCATAACGGCGCGACTCGCGGGTGCAAAGCTCGCTACTTCGGATGTATTAGTGTTCCTTGACTCACACACGGAGGCCAATGTCAACTGGCTGCCTCCACTGCTAGGTCTGTGTATGTATTGGATGTGTCTCTTGCATCTCTGCCTTAATTTGCTTGTTGATTTACTCTTTTTCAATAAGTTTTCCAGAAGACAATATACAATTAAGAATAAAATAAATAACCATTCCACTAACTGCCTTACTCAAAAACGTCGGTTGATTATATAGGGTTAGTGGTAAAATTTTAGCTTCAATGTTAATAACTTTATGCGCATCATGATCATCATCAAGATTATGTAAGCTAATCCGTTTGTATCGTGGGACCTATGTACTTTTACAGCCGCCAGTAGTGTTGCTACTGGTCATACGTAACCCCACGCACACCTGTGTGTAAGTCTTTACGTGCGACATCACATCGTATTATAATTTATACTTGAAAATAGTGTGGATACCCGTGTCGGGACTATGATAAATATGTCAAACATAGTACCGCCATCTAGTGACATTTATTTTAGTATTTTCTTTCTTTTTAATATTTTCTAATTAATGTAAATACGCTGAATCCACTTTTAAATATGACAGCATTAAAAATTATGCTAAAACCGGTGTAACTTCAGACAACTTTTAAGAATGATTACGTCAATCGTTTTCACATATTTTGAGTTCTATTTAGGTCATTAATTTTAAATTTTTAACGTATCCAATCCTATGCTTGATAAAATATGAAAAAGATTGTGTTTAGCATTCAATCTAGTGTCGACCAGCAAATTATCTGTTTAACAAACAAAATTCTCAAGTACTTACATAAATTATAATAATATCACCCTTGTTTATGAACAAAATATAGGTGTATAAATAATACCACAGTATAATTAAAACTTGGAACAATATTTTTTTGTTCAGTTTTGAGTTATTATGTTTGATTGGTAGATCAAACGTGACTCATGATGTTTTCTATACAGGAAGCATTTAAAACCACTCTCCAAATTTGAGTATGTTAATCTTTACGACAAATAATGAAATACGGGTTTTTTCTTTTTATGTCATTTAGAACAAAAATGTTGAGTTATATCGTTACCAAGTAATTTTTAAAAAACCTACATTTGTGGACGCTCTCGCTTCCCAGTACGTGCGCTTTACGCGCTACGTTACACTTACCCCTCCCTCCCTTCCTGCAATTCATTGATAGTAATACAAGTATGCTTGCGTTGACCGTAGTTGGTGTGCTAGTAGCAGCTACCTAAAATGTTTTCGTTTTGTCATGGGGAAATGGTACATAAAGTTGAAACCTTCCCTTCATACTATTACGGACTTAGGACCTTCAAATTGCAAAAATCCTATTAGATACCTACTATTACAATAACTATTCTGCTTTTAATTTATAAAATAAGTAAGTAATATCGAGTTACCTAAAATTCTGTTTAGTTAAACCAATTCAAAGTAGGTACTTAACAAGCTATTCTTTTGCAATCAGGCATATTTAAAAAATATCAACTTTATGTACATAATCAACTAATCAATTTACCCTACCGAATTTAACTATTTACCTACGTATACTTTAATAATTGTTCAAAGTGCATATCGTTCCTCTCCAAACAACTTCTTGCACGTTTTTGCACATTGTCTTTTAATTTTGCGAGCACTACAGTGTAATTTTTCACTCGGTTAAATGCCGCTCTGATTTTCACTTTGTAGTCCTCGAGGCTTTGTGCTTCCTCAACATACACACGCCTTTTAATTTCACCCCACAAATAAAAGTCACACGGTGTTAGTTCTGGCGATCGCGCAGGCCACACGATGGGGTCTCCGCGTCCAATCCATCGATCACCATGTATGTAACACCGCACCATTTCATAACATTCGCCATTGGAATACATTACGACTTGCAAAGTGTGGGGCTGCGGCGGGCGGTGCGCAACACGGAAGCAAAGGCGGAAGCGCGTGCGTTCAAAAAGGTTGTGCGTGGGCGACTGATGTTGTCGACAAAATCAAAAACCGAGCAGACATCGTCGTCGGCACATGCGCGTACATCCCCTGCGCCCGCGCCCTTGCTACCCCTGCTTGTTTCATTCATTAACTAATGTGACAATGCGAATGTTATAATTATCTTGTAATTACAACAAGTTTACATTTCATTTTGAAAATTTTACATACTGTTTTTTTTTTTCATATATGTGATCCATGAACGATACCTAATGCCTAGAAAAAATTTGGAGAGTCATTTTAAATGCATCCGGTATAGTCCTGTATAGTCGCTGGTCTTTTATAAATACCCCTATATAACCGTTTGATTTCCGTTCTGGTGAAGGCAAAAAACTACTTTTTAATTTGCTTACTATCTATGTAATATGTATGATATTACATTCTTTCTTGTTTTTTAGTTTCTTTTGGTTTGGGTAGATATAGTTTGGTCATAAAAGATAATCAAATTAAGTTTGTATTAACGATTTCAATTAGCTACTCACACTATATTGAAGACTACGTGTTGTAGTAATTATTTTTTATTTAATAATTAATATAGGTATTTGACATACATCAATCTAGTTAGAAATTACGTTCACAATACAAAATCTTTAACCCAAAATGACTTAATGAAACTCTTGCAGTATGTTGCTTCTGGTTTTAGCAATATATTTGAGTTATTCTAACAAAATTTGATACTGTCATTAATAGATTCTAATTGACTAAAAACGGATCCAGACTCTCTAAAAGCATTGTCTTGCACGTTATTTTGCACTTAATTTTTTAACTGTAGTACTACAAAAATCTTACTTATATGGGTGTTAATGATTCTATGTACGATATAAATGCCACATAATATCCGGTACTATACAATGTAAACGGAATCTTTGGGCCTTCTAAATGGATACAAAAAACGTCGTAACCTATGTAGGTTACATGAAACTCATGTACCTAAGTTTTAGATTAAATTAAAGGTAGCCAAGAAAACGATTCCATTGGTATCAACAATAATAATTAAGAATTAGTGTAGAAATATCGTGGAGATAACATATTTGCACCGGGAAAGAAAAATTATATTTCTTTTAGTGAAATAAAATGCATGCACCACAAATGTGAATGTCATATTAATGTTATGTTAATTGGTTGTCTTAGAACCGATTGCATTGGATTATCGCACAGTGGTGTGTCCGTTCATCGACGTAATTGCGTACGACACGTTTGAATACCGCGCTCAGGACGAAGGAGCTCGAGGCGCTTTCGACTGGGAACTGTTCTACAAGAGACTGCCAGTGCTGCCTAAAGATGAAGCCAACATGCCAGAACCATTCGAGTAAGTGATTTTTTCGGTTCATTAATTACTGTAAGACTAATTAGATACCTAACTACGTGTATGTTATAGTTAAGTATCTGAGGAATGTATGTAATTTTTCCTTATATTTATTTATTTTATTGATAACTTAAAATGCATTTATTTTGTATTTAAAGCTAAGTTTGTAAGGTCAATTCTCGATTTTCGAGTATGGATTCGATTTATTTGGAGCACATGTCTCTATTAATATTTGCAGAACACCACCTCACATCTCTGTAATGGCATTTAAGAAAACAAAAATTAAGTAACTTTCACAAGATCCGGTCATAGGATGTGGAGACTGAAAATGTATTATCTCGAGCCCTTCCGTGCTTCGGCAGGCAGTCATGGACTATTTTTCCCCTTTAATTTTAATAGGGATAATGACATTTTATTGTTTGTCTATCGGGTAGATTACGGCGATATATTGAGTTAAAATGTCACATGACGTCACGCTTTTGTACATTTTCTACAAAACTAATGTAGCGAGCCGCTACTCCTCAACTTTATTGTCTGTTATCTAAGCTATTTTTTGTTTAATGTAAATAAAAAAATATATATATCTAATATCTGACCGACGGTTTAAATAGTTTTTTTTTTACCCAAGCATCATTAATACATGCTCGATACGAATGCATCGCAGTTGATGTTTCGTGCTGAAGATACATAATGTTTGTTAACATTTTTTTAATAATATAGATGTTAATCTGTTTGGGATGTCGAACGGCAGGAGTCCGGTGATGGCGGGTGGTTTGTTCGCGATATCTACCGCTTTCTTCTGGGAGCTGGGTGGTTACGATCCCGGTTTGGACATTTGGGGAGGCGAGCAGTACGAGCTTAGTTTCAAGGCAAGTAAGCTTCTTTTGTATCTTCTTTTCTGAGAGCCTGGGTTAAATTCTGTAGTGTCACCGAGCTTACAATCTCGCTCTAGTTCTATCTTATATTAATTTTCTGAATAAATAAGTCATTTTTTAATTAAAGGCAAAAATTTTGACATGTGTCTGGGTTAAAATCGAATGAGAATACATTTTTTTCGGAATCTCCTTCGATTAGCATATCAAATTCGCCTATTTGTTAATAGAAAACAAAAGTAATGCTTTGATAAATAGAAATCAATCATCAAAAATGTCTAGAGCTAAAAAAAATAAATATTTCACCTGTAGATTTGGCAATGCGGCGGACGTATGTTAGACGCTCCGTGTTCACGCGTAGGTCACATATACAGGAAGTTTGCGCCGTTTCCTAATCCCGGACACGGGGATTTTGTGGGCAAGGTATGTTATACCGTCGAATATTGGACGAATGAACACTTAATTATACCACACACTATGAACAAACACAGAAATATATTTTACAATACAGTTTTTTACTGCAAAGTCACCAATATAAGTAGCATTAAGTTAAAGCGTTTAAGAAAAACATCTCTGGCGAAAACAATAAGTATTTTTTTATTGTTGGTATCGTACAAGTTGACCAATCTTTCCCTCTCCCCCCCCCCCCCCTCTCTCCCCTCCCAATTTTACAATTTTTGTTGCATAAAATACATATGAAATGTTCTAAAAATCTATATTTTTACTACTTTTTTATCGAGGAGGCTTCGAAGCTACTGGACCGATTAAAATTCGAAATTAAAATTCTTTCACCTACGGAAAGCTACATCATAAACGGGTGACATAGGCTATAATTTACGCGGATAAAGTGGCGGGAAAACAGTTAGTTATATGTATGATCTTACATTTTCAATTACTGAATGTCAACGTTGCGGTCGCAAATACAAAGATTTGCATGCTATCGGAATTGTTCAAAAACATGGCGTGCGTGATTGGATATTTTCTCTGTATCATAAGGATGTCTGTTGAAAAAATCCATGTACGTTAGCTATAGCCTTTTCCGTTATTAGGTGAAAATATGTAACACATATATTTGTAACGGACCTACAGAACTATCGCCGCGTAGCCGAAGTATGGATGGACGAATACGCCGAGTATTTGTACAAGAGAAGACCTGCTTACAGGAATATAGATCCTGGTGATCTGACCGTCCAGCGCGATCTTCGAGCTCGATTACATTGGAAAATATAAATCACGAAAATTCGTAACACATATTAAAGGTGACTATAAACGTTTTCCAGCGCCTGACCTCCGTACTGGGTATTGAGTGATACACTAGTACTTCAACATGCAGAAAAATCAAGCTCTCTAGCTTTTGCACATATCTTTGTCACGAGCTCTCCGTCTATAAGTCAGTTTATCATAATTATGAAGTACACTAAAATAGATTCGGTAGATGCATAGATAGAGCATAGAGAGATCATAAATAAATAGAGTTCAAGCAGCAATAGAGTAACATAGAAACTAATTTATTATAGTTTTTAATAATATTCAAAAATGGTTCTTATGTAAACAGATAAGGCCTGCGGTGGATCAGAAACTGTGTATCGACGCTCACCGTGGCCAACAGTTGGACAAACTGTTACTCAGAGAATGTTCAGATCGACCCACAACTGAGCAGGACTTCGTCTTCTCCTGGCACAAAGATGTCAAGTGAGTCTTTTATGGTTTCATAATTTATCTAGTGAAGATATTCATAAACGTCCATTAAGGTTTAATGACACTTAAGCTCTAATGAATGTCAAATTTGTATGGGTAATGTCCCTTTAAAGTAATGAAAATTTTAATGGACGTTTGTGCAACTGGCTGTTTGCCAGTTAGCTGTCACTGTCACTTTGACTTTGACGTTGGATCAGTTTCGCGCCATTATACTACCGGGTTGTCATTCTTGTAAAACAATTGGAATCGATATTGTGATTTTAAATGTGTCTTTCATTATGCAACTAACAATATTTTGTGATGAGCGTATACTGTTTCAGTAATAAACACTTGCAAATATATATTTTTTTAAATTTGAATAGCTTGTCTATTATCATAGCAACAGTTCACTGCTTGTATAACGTATAACGCGAAAATCGCAGTGTTTTTTAGTTCAGTGACGATATTGGAAAACTTTTACTTGCGTTTTTTTTTTAAAGTACTAACTTGGTTAAATTATATTTTCATAGTCATTGAAAATAATTAGGTCATCATTGAGTTAGTGGTGTAAGAAAGTTGAGTGAAACAAACAACACATCATCCTTCTTTCGGTTAATATCTGATGCTTTCTATATATGTATGTTTTTATAGATGTAAGAAGAGAAATATGTGTTGGGATTTGCCGGACGCGCAACCTAGAAGCAGCATACTGTTATACACCTGTCATTTGGGTGGTGGAAACCAACTATGGAAATATAACGAGGTAAGCATTAAATATTATCATATGTTATTATAATAGGGGTTAAAGTATAAAATTGCTGATTTGTATTGAAAAACAAAACTGTTTGCAGATCTTAACTGAAAAACAAAATTGTTTATTTAAAAAAATATATATTTAATCAAAATAGTTGCCATTATTATCTATACATTGCTACCATCTAATAGAAAGATCATTTATGCCTTTGTGATAGAACTCTGAGGATCTAGACTGCACAAACTGTGTGAAAGCATTTTGTACTGCCTCCTGGGAAGAAAATCACGTAGATAATTGTCCAAATCACGAAAAAAATGGTAGTTCGTTGGAGCAAGGTCTAGCGAATACGGAGGATGACGAATGGTTTCTAACTGCAGTTCCTGAGGGGTCTAAACGGCTTCTCGTGCTGTATGAGGTCTCGCGTTGTCAAGGAGCAATAATGGTGAAGATCGATTCATGAGTGGGGTCTGTTTTACTGCTAGTTTTGTCAACATTGTTCGGATTTTGGCACAATAGACATCTGTCGTTATTGTTTGACCAGATCTGAGAAAATTATAGTGAATAACACCATGCTGAGACCACCAAACTGTTACCATTACCTTTTTATTGGTAAGTTTTGTTTTAGGACACTGTTGTGGCGTTTAACCTGGGGTTAGCCATTGCATTTTTCTTTTACGGTTATCATAAAGAATCCACTTTTCATCACATGGCACAATTCGCACCAATATTCCTTCATTTCTGTACCGATTCAACATGGCAACACAAGTTTCAACACGCGTTTCTTTCTGCTATTCAGTCAAACCATGAGGCACCAATTTTTGGTATTTTTTGATTTGACGTAAATGAGTAGGTAAGTTAACGTTTAACCATGCCGCTAATTCCTGGGTAGTTTGACTAGTTATCTCTCTTAATTCATCGTTATTCACCTGTGTGGGCGCTCTTCCTCGTGGCTCGTTTAAGTCGAAGTTTCCATCACGAAATCGTTTTTGAACCAAAATCGCACGGTGCGTTCATTAGCAGACCCCTCTCCAAAACGCAACATTGATATTGCGGGCTCTTTGTGTCGCGTTACTTCCGCGTCGGAACTCGTATTCAAAAATCTTTTTTGTCTAAGTTGAATAACAAAAACAATTGATAGTCGATATTAAAATGTTTCACATTTTTTAAAAGAAGAACATCATAGAAACCACGTGAAAATGGTTTCTTTCGAAAACCTCAAACTGTGAAGATTCTATGTCAATTCAAGGAACCTATTACAATAAAACTGCAATTTCATACTTTAACCCCTAATGTTATAAACGCGAAAGTTTAAAGGAAATGCGAAAGGAGGCATGTATGTCATACTTTTATGGTATACTGATAATTCTAACATAATGAAAAATAGCACTCTGAGTGCCAGGGACATAGTGGTATTTTAAGCATTTTTCATTTTTTTTATTTTTTTTTTATTTTATTTTAAAAAAGGCTTACCAACTAAATACATAAAAGACATACTATTCACTACATATCAATAATTTATATCATATATGTACTTAAATTATAGGTATGCACAACATTCTAATACATATAATACAATTTCAAGAAAACAATGAGAAAACTATGAATTAAAAACTAAAAATACTCCTTACAACCTTGCAAAATAGTCTTTTTGAAATTAGCTAGACCCCCGCAAAAAATGTCTATATCAGTACTCTTAAATATGTGATTAAATTTAGCCAACATTGAACAAATAGGTGAGGAACTGCCATAATTGTTTTTTCTTAAATTAATAGAAAAGGGTTTATAATTGTGTAGTCGAGCCGCATCTCTAGGAACTAATATATTAATTTGTGTTAAGAGAGACGGAACATCCACTCCATGGTTTAGTAATTTGTATACAAAAAATAGTGACAGCTGTTCTTTACGTTGCCGTAAAGAAAGCATATTGAACTGATCCAACCTCTCAGAATAGCCTCTGACGCTACGGTAAGTGCCACTGATGAACGAAATTCTGTTAACAAACTTCTTTTGAATTCTTTCTATACGTTGAATACTGTTTTGATAATAGGGATACCAAACAAAAACACAGTAATCCACGTGACTACGAACCAAAGCAAAGTACAAAGCCTTTAGCGCATGAACAGATTTAAATTCCCTAGTACTCCTAAATAGAAACGCTAACATTCTAAGACATTTATTAATCGTGTTATTAATATGGATTGTGAACTTCAATTCAGAATCGAGAGCAACACCCAAGTCTCGAACCTGATTGACTTCTTTCAAAATCGTTCCATGAATGTGGTAACAGCTAGGAAACTTGTAATGTTTTCGAGAAAATTTAATGTGACAACACTTGTCCGCGTTTAGAGCCATACCATTCAATTTGCACCATTCCGCAACCCTGTCTAGATCCTCCTGTAGCTTCATCTGATCGTCACTGTTGATTACTGTTCTGGATAGTTTTAGATCGTCTGCATATAATTCAAATTCAGAGTTAACAATGCAACACTTTATGTCGTCTATGAACATAACAAACAGGATTGGTCCCAGGTGAGACCCTTGCGGGACCCCGGAGGAAGGATGGATTGCCCTAGACGCAAACCCATTAACCACAACCCGTTGTGTACGATCTCTTAGGTAAGATGAAAACCACTCCAAAAGTGACCCGTGTACACCAAAAATATTACAAAGCTTGTTTATTAATAAAGCGTGATCAACCTTATCGAATGCCTCACTAAAATCGGTATAGATCGCATCGACTTCTTTTCCAGAGCTCATATAAGTAATTATTCTATCCACAAAAGTTAATAGGTTGGTCGCGGTAGATCGTTTCTTTAAAAAACCATGCTGTTGATCCGCTACTGTTTGCTTTATGTGCCACGCTAAACAAGGACAAACCAAAGATTCAAAGACTTTGCCAAGAATAGGGAGAATACTAATGGGCCTGTAGTTATTCACGTTACTTTTATCGCCAGCTTTATAGATCGGCACAACTATCGCATCCCTCCAAATTTTGGGAAAACAGCCTTCCGAAAGTGATCTATTGTATATTATATGTAAGGGTTCCTTTAAAACTACAGCGCACTTTTTCAAAAAGATTGGTGGGATTCCGTCGCTACCCGCTCCTTTATTAGGGTCAAGGGCTTTCAAGGACTTTTCTATCTCATCACTTGTTAAATATAACTGGGACATCGAAGAAACTAAACGAGACGAGACTTCATCTACCAAAAGGGCATTACTAGAAGCGTTATACGCCAAAGCAAAGCTATCTGCAAAAAGATTTGTAATGTTATTCCCGTCTTTCGCGATCCTATCACCAAAATTCATAACCGACGGTATATCACTTTTTACTTTACGTTTGTTTTTAATAAAAGCCCAAAAGTACTTGGGGTTTTTAATAACGCTACTGACAACTTTCCTTATATATGTGTTATAGCATTTCTTTATCATGACCGACGACCTTTCTTTCAAAATATTGTATTCCAGTTCATCCAGACCGTTCTTAAATCTTTTGTATCCTCGACGAGCCCTTTCCTTTTCGCGCAACAAACGAATGAGGTTCGTCGAAAACCAAGGTGGATATTTTTTTTTATTAAGTCTCCGGATTGGTACATGCTCAGAAATTATTTGATTTAATTTACTGTAAAATTTAGATACAACGTCATCAATTGCTGAACTTGCTCCAAACTCGAGGTTCCAATCTACTTTGCTTAAACGATTTCGTATAATATCATAATCAGCATGAAAAAAATCATGCCTAGGTGTAAACTTAGGACACAACATTCGATACACCTGTAAAGATACCAATATCTCGAGCGGTGGATGATATAAATCAACGCGTGAAATTATGTTTTGTGATTTTTGTAAATGAAGTCCGCAACTGGAGTTAGTTAATACCAAATCAAGTATCCTTTCTTGATGGTTTAATACGTTATTGTACTGTTTCAAGTCGTAAGCCGATAAAAAGTCAATAAGGTCGCATGCTATAGTGCCATCATAATTTAAAGGTTTCAAAAATGAACCCGAGGCGGATGGTGACCATTGAATATCTCGCAGGTTGAAGTCACCCAAGAGAAATACGTCATCATCCAAACCATCCAAGACATTGCCAGCTTTATCTAAGAAATGTTCAAGATGAGTACGTTTAAGAGGGGATGAGAAATAAACACAGCAAATGTTCAATCTAGAATTACCTAAAATTAAGGTGACCCACAGGTCCTCACACTGACTTTCAAAATTGTGATTTCTATATGCGTGAATGGACCCTTTTACAGCAATGATTACACCACCACCATCAGAAGCCATCCCAAAAGTACTCGATGATCTGTCCCTCCTAAACACCTTGTAACGGTTGTCGAAAATCTCGCCATCATAAATTTCATTATTAAGCCAGGTTTCCGTCAACACAATCACATCAAAGTCATTTGCAAGAACTTCCAAATAAATATCCTTCAATTTTGTTCGCATGCCGCGAATGTTCTGGTAATATATGCTAAAATTGAACGTTATAACTAAAATCACTAACCACTTCCGATAAATTTGAGGCTTCTACACCAAAGTCTTTAAAAAGTCCTGATGAAGTACCAACTTAGAGGGGTGTTCGTCGTCCTTTCTAAGGAATATTTTTCCATTTCGCACCCATACATACTTAAAATGATGTTCTTTGGCCCATATTCTCACGAAAGCGTGCAGCGACTTGTTAGCCTGCGTTAAATGCTCGGAAACATAGACTGGAGATTCCTTATTACCATAACCTAGCAGTTTCGTATTTAGCTTCTCTTTGGGATTTGATCTGTTGTACTTGTACACAGCCGCGAGCAGATTATCCCGCTTCAGCTTACTAACAAATCTGCATATAACTGCCTTGGGCAACGTAGATGCCTTGTTCTGCTTTTGTACTCGATTACAAGACAAAATGTCATTTTCCGATATAGTGTAACCAGTCACCCTACCAATTTGCATCACTGCGTTAGGTAGGTTTTCTTGTTTATGCTCGGGAAGACAATGCATCTCTATATTGTTTTGACGTGAATCCTGTTCCATTATAGATACTCTTGATTCCAGGTCCTTGACTTTGCGATGAAGTAGCTCATTTTCCGAACGTAGTTGCTTGGTGTCTTGTGCATAGACCTCTACTGTATTCTTCATTTCTTCGAATTTTGTATTCATATAATTCAAGGATTCTTCGAAGCTACTCATCTCATTTCTTAAAGACAAAAACTCTTCCCTTATTGTCTTTTTCACTATAGCGACTAAATTCTCCTGTATGATGGCTTTTATGGTTGAGCGTAGACTGTCATTATCAATCTCATCATCATGTCTGTTGCCTCCACGTGCATTCTTATTTACATTACGTGTTTCATCCGGAGAAGAGCCGGTTGCCACCGAAGTAGTCTTACACGGTGTGTCATCGTTTTTTGTCTGCCTCTGAGCAGATAGAACCTCTAAAGAACAGTCGGGACATTTCCAGTTCGGTTGCTTTTTGAAATTCGCACTGGTGAGATTAGAAGATCATTAAGAATATATTTAAATGAAAAATATATTCCTTGAATAAACATACAACTGACTGATCAAGTTTATTTTTCTTTCACTAACAAATTTGATTTTAATGTATTTATATCAATAACTGTTTTAGAATACGAAGCAAATCAAAGCGGGCGGCAACGATAACTGCGTGGACATGGATCATACATCACACGATCTGTTTATAAATCGATGTGACACTTCCAGCGAGACGCAACGATGGACCATAGACAAAATAGATCACGACATGCTCGCGAAGTGGGATTCAATGCATACTCGAGTCACTGGACCCGTTGAAGATTATTAAATGGATTTTATAAGTAAGTAATTTTGTAACAGATCGTGTTATTTTATAGTCAGTATATACCGTAAAAATATTGTTAAGGCCAGGTTGTAGTGTACTCATTCATGTACAACATATACGATTTTTGTCTTCTTATCTTTCGTGTAATAATTCTCATGTAATAATATTATTTCTCATGTAACAATATATTTCATTTCATGTAATAAAGTTATTTATGTTCATATTTTCTATTCACGTCAACTATTATTTATGTACATTGTACATGTTCAAATTGGTCATTATTTTGTTTGAAAAAGATAGAAAAAGAGGAAGGTTATATGCAGCCAGGTTTGTTAAGTATTCTAACTACCTTTTCTACAACCTTGTCTTAAAGACTGAAAAAATCCTTGAAAAACTTATCTTTTGATCTGATCATATGCTTTTCAAGTCCCGAACTACTGACTGGACTAAGTAGTTATACCAGGCGCATGACAGCAGATATTTCTCCCGAATTTGATATCTCGAGTTTCAGACCTTCAAAAGGTAAATGGATTTGTGTGTGACATTTTATAAAATAATAATTAGTCTCTTTGGCGACAATCAAACGTTACATTATTTTTTATTAATGTCGTCTTGATTCGGGAAATGCCTTGATACTGCCTCTTAAGCCACATACCATTTTTTAGACTGGAATTGTAAGCTTAAAATATTTCTCATTATTTAATAAATATTTTCCCAAGGGCATTGAATAGTATTTTGTATATTTTAGAAAAAAAAAATATGTTTAGTGTTATGGCTAGTCAGATTTGTGTAAAATATTATAATATAATATTTTAATAAGCGACAGTCTTATTATGACTGTCATATTATGACTGTCATATTATGACTGTCGCTTGTTTAGTTATGTTATTATTTATGCATAAAAGATATCCTTAAAATTGTTTTATACTGAAGGTATTGTATATTAAAGAGAATTATTATCTTTGTGTTATGATTTCTCCATTTTCAAAAACATTTTATTCACAGTATACTATCGTACCTAGATGATAAAAAGATTTTATAATAAAACATTTTCTGAATTTCAGGAAGCCATTCAATTTTAAATGACAGATTTTTTTTATATTTGAGAAATATATGTCGTTTGATGTTCTAGTTTCTTTGTTATAATAATTTGTTTGCTTCTAAATTAGTGGTTGCTTAGTTAATATTGTGATATTTGTAGTCATTATAGAGCTATTAGGTAGAAAATATTTTTTCATACATTTTGTACTTGTAAAATCTAGGAACGCATTAAAAATAAATGTTGATGTTTCAAATACTTTTATATGACGAGATGACCATAAATAAATGAGGACACTAAATAGATTATATAGCAGTGGTTAAGAGTGTTAACGTAGGTATTTAATGGTCCATATATATTGTTCTATAAATTGGATTAGTTGATGTGGTCACATCTTAAATTACCTCGATTCTTCTTGTGCTTGCTGATTTTTATTTTTGTGTGCCAGTCTTCCATCTTAATTTGGCAATAATAGATATATATAGCATAATTACTTTTTATTGAATCTTCCTTAATAATGCTGCCTTATTTTTTACTATATTAACGTTATGAAAGCTGTTATTACGCATCTATGTACCGATTATATACATATATCTCCCATTCCCATCTCCGATTAGCAGCTTCAAATCGGTCTTCATCTGTACCCAGTATATCTAGTGCATTTTTCTAACTGAAATACTTCCTTCGATATGTACTTACATAATTCTTAGAATATTTTTAATTTTTCTTGTATGCAAATATTGCTTCTGTTTTGTTTAATAAGGTCGTAAATTCGAAAAATTTCATTTTTTATTAGCCTTTGTTTAATCGATAAAAAATGTACTATACCTGGATAAAGTATTGTATTGTACATATTTTTTTTACAATACAATACTTTGATTCATAAAAACCCACGGCTAGTGTCTAAGAAATAGTTTTATACGTATATGTTAAATAAATCATTATTATAGGGCTTTAGAATTTTGCGAAGTAAATTGTAAACTGAGTAGTAAGGCGAGGCACAAATAATTTTATAACACTTTCTATATTTCATATTAAAGAGTGACATTCCATTTTATAAGAAGTAGGCATATATTGCAGACTTTCTTCCAATTTGATTTAAAAAGTATATATTGATATATGTTTGGTTTACAATTATTCATCAATATTATATGTTAACGCCTACACATTCTTCATAAGGCAATATCTACCGATCTGACGTACTACAAACATCAATTGTCATCCACCGTAGATAATTTTATTATTGTTATGACGGTTGATTTTACTCAATATATTTTTGACCTTTGTCATCGTCTGTTAAGCTGTGGTTTTATTTTAATCCAAAAAAGCATCAAACTTTACGAAATTCAAGAATTCAACATCAACATTTACATTAAACATTATATTATTATTCAGTCATTGTTCCTATCAAAAATTATGCCATAATTTAAAAAAATAAATACATAGTATGAGTATTTTATTAAGTGTAAGTAACTTATTGTTAATACGATTTTAATATTTTCATTAAATCTATTTTATATGAAAAACTAGGTATTAAATATTTTGTCACAATAATGAAACTGGTCACAAAATAAATTTATATAAATATGTTTCTACAGTTGTTTTAGTTGTCGTTAATTTGTATATTTGGTTTTATTGACTGTTTTAGAGTTTGATTTAACATTTCGTGATACATATCACTAGTTGTTAATAAGCACTGTATTATTGTATAATTAGCTAGATTAAACAGCAACTTTACAGTGTAGATGACATGTAAAAATGTTTGAATATAAGCACTTATCAATTTCCCTGTGATTTGGTGATTTACTCTAAGTCAAATTGCTGCTCGAAAGCAAAATGTCTTACGTTCAAACAATTTTGCACTTTTAAATCTTTGAGATTATGAAACTCGACTGCCTTATTTTAAGAAACTATTGGCCATATTTAATGTTGTAGTTAATGCTGAATCGTTGCTGTTATTCAGTAAAATATATATTTGGTTTTAAATAAATTATTTTTGTAATGCTTACAATTTGTTTTTCTACATTATAATTTCGTAATTTTTTATGACCCAATTTTTACGTTTATCTTTATTTTATACGTATAGTCATTATTATTACTACTAGTAACAGTGGTTTTTAAGTATTTTGGAACATAGTAGTAGGCATTTAGGAATCAAACGAGCAGACATGTTTTAATGTTTTATTACATATTCCATTTGAATACTTTCTATATTTATTATTGTACATGCTTACATCGTCACTCATAGCACGCACTCTTTCTGACTATATATCTGAGTATAGCAGACTATCGGTCGAACACTCGCACTTCTCCTAAAGTTAAGGCTAATTAGGAAACTGTCGTTATAAAATGAGATATATTAGTTTCCTTAATTTCAGACTGTTTTTAAGAATAGTTCGAGTATTCAAACCGCAACTATACATTTAAGTCTCACTGCCAAACTCGGTGATAATATTTTGATAACAAATAATAAGCCTTATTGCTACAGTCTTAAGATCCTTTTCTGCTCAGCTTTAATAACGAGTGCCCATATAGAAATTATAAAACGGATTTTAAGACTATTGTAATATGGACTTTGGATGGTACCTATTGAGACAAAATCAAAGACAACAATGACAAAAACACATTGAAACAGTGTTTTTTTAAATATACTGAATAATTAATTATAGGCATTATGAAAAATATGTTGTATGTAGTTTTTTGAGAAAACAGTATGGGATGTAGAAATATCATTCACCGAGTCGTACAGCTAACGCAGTATCTACAACAGTACAAATAAATGCAGCACGAGGAATTCATTTCTACAATTCGTAAATGCAGTTTGTGATGTTCCGCATCAAAGCTCTAAGAATCTAGAAGTTTAGTCTATGGTAAGTCTGTTGATGTGCGACTGTCTATATTATTGCGTGTAAAGATGGCTATACACGTGACTACAGGCTTGGAGACCACATGTATTTTGTATTTTATTTTTCATATATTATTACGATCGCTTTAAAACAACAATGAAAAATAATCACTTTTTATTTGATTTATTTTCATTTATTTATTATTCTAGTTTATTATAATAATAATAGAGGGGTTTATTATAAAACTGGAATCTGATCGGATGAAAACGGACTTCCGATTAATTAAACTTGTTTTACTAAAATGCTCCGGAGTGGCAATGGACTTTTAATTCTTTATAAATATATGTTAAGTTCATTATGCATGTCGTTACGTGTATAGTCATCTTAAGACTACATTGTACTCGTGTGAAGGAACAACGACAGCTCACAAATTACCGTCGATAACAGTTACATATGAACATATATATTTACCAGTGGATCTGTCATCTAGTTTTTAAGATGACTAGCAGTTTAAAGAGGTCCAATAACAGATTCGAAAAACGTTTAACTCACAAGCGAACGATGGATGGATAGTACTTACAGGGGTTGTATTCTACATAAGACCGACCACTGCCGCGATATATTACAATGTTTTTTTTTTCTCATACTCCTAATTATCTTAACCGTTTTAATATTATAAATAATAGAAGCGTAAAGATATGTACAATATTTTTACAGATTACATTCTCATTAAGTACCTATTTACAAATTAGAATTCTTTATACATTATAAAAAAGATAACTATACTGCTCTAGTTTATATCACCGCAAAATCAATAACTACATTCACAATAGATATTTTTATATATAATAATAATAATAATTAATTTAAATAAAATTACACCTTATTTATGCTAAATAAAGAATTATGACGTATTACATTACAATGTATTGCTTCGTTTAGTCACATTTTCCAAAAATATCACCAATGCGTTGGGTCAACGGTAGCGAACCCGGGAATATTAGCTTAATTTTTTTCCCTTCAATATACTTTTTCTTTTGTAAAAAATTTCATCCGCATCATATCACCAGCCACTCAGTCAACTAGCATTAAATTAGTACCTCTAACACAGAATAGACACCACAATTTAAATGAGACACATATGGACATATATACTATTTATACTACTTTTTTAATTACAGTTTATTAATGTCTTCTCGTTGACTTATAACTGAATTAACATGCAACTTTTATATGTAAACATGTATACTAGGTATATTGAGTTATGTGTTATTTATACAAACTTATTATTTTATTAGTATAACTTTATATGAGCACAAATTAATACTTGATGACAGCGGAACTAGCTCCAGTACAAAATAAGAACAAACGGAAGACACTACACTTTTGTGAATGTATGCAGCTGAAATATTAACAATGAATAGCAATAGGTTACTTAATTTAAGTTTACAATCTTATTTAAAATAAAACATAGTTCAGTCTATATATAATAGGCAATGTAATAAGTCAGCGAGAAGTTCGCCCCCTAAATGGTTACGGTAAATCCTACTGTTCGATTATTGCACAACACATGCAGAACGTACGTATTAAAGTTGACTGTACTTTTTATATATTTTATTTGTCTATTTACGAGGCCTTTCTACTATTACGAGATTAGTGTATGGCTACTTAGAACTCTGTCGCTCCGAACGAAACGGCGAAAAATGATACATATTTCTGATCTCTGCAAATTTAATGGCGACGCGAGATCCCGCAGTGTTACGAGTAAACAAGTAGGGGTCATTAATTTGAAGAGTCAGACCTATTGGACGATATAAAAAATATAAAATTATTGCTTAAATTGTAAACAGTATTGCGAAGTAAAAAAGACCTTAGGTCTAACATTAAAAAGGAACAACTACAAGAATAAAATATTATTATTTACAAATATCTAAATTTAATGGGTAGAACGAAATATTTGGCTAAAATGTAATAGGAATATATCGATTTGTGAAATAAGACTACATGGTGAATGTATATGAGTACATGCAAGGGTATAATAGTTAAAAATATTTTGTAAAATAATATCAATAAAAAAAAGGTAAATTGTGATCGCGTTTGAGTATTTTGTTTGCATTATTATGCTCAGTTAGAGATATTATATTTATTATTATAATTAATTTCATTTTTCATTTTATTTATGAGTCTGTACCCTGTCGTGAGTCATCAAATGAGATTCGAATCAGTCTAATGAAGGTTAATTTATCAAAAATAAGCTTACAATAGGGGTTATAAATCATAAGCCTAAGTACAAGAAGCAACAAAAACGAGTACTCAACAGTTCCTACGGCGGCGCACATATCGCCCTTAACCTTACCCGATTCGAACCCTAAATCGACGGTTTCCGTTCACTCTCGTAATCCTCATTCAGTCCCATTACCTTAATACACTAACAGAATTACACCGATCACAGGAGCACGCGGCCGATCGCGAACGTCGACCGAGGCAGACCATCGAAAATATTTCAGTCCTATAAAAATAGTAAGAACTAAAATCCTACAAGAGTTCCCACTCGTGAGACCCGCCACCACGTGGAGACGGGCATCACGTGCAGGATGCGTTATGGCGTGTTTATGGCACGTTAATAGAGTCACGAGCGATGGCGAGCTCGTCCGCTCTTTCTTCGTTTTCGTCGGCCGTCGCGGACAAACACTATGTTGGCGGGATCGTCCGCCAGCTGTGGGTATTTGGATACAGAGTGAACGTCCCTGGCTGCCCAGCCGTCGACGATGCCATGCGAGATCAGTTCCTCCTTCTCCTCTTCCGTCCACGAACCACGCCCTTCCCACCCAGCGGCGACTAGTGCCTTCTCTCTTTCCCATGCTCTTGCCGCGGCGCGTTTATGCGCGTGTTTCAGCAGTTTGATCCTTTCTTGTGCCGGATCAACGCCGTAACGGAGTACTATAACTGCCTGAGCTGACCCTTTGCCGACGGCATGAACTCGCACCTGAAATAGGAATTGATAGTCTCTTTTAACTTCTATTAGTAGTTTATAAAAAAAAAACTTCTGAAATTCGATTCGATTCTTAATATATTTAGTATTAAACAAATTATGCTGATATTGATGAATCTTTATTTTGAAATTACCTCTAAGCCTTGATCATTAGTTTCATCTTGGGATACGTTGAACTTGCCCGATAATCGTCTAAGCTCTTCCATGTCATCTCTGATTTTCAAGGAGTTATCCTTAACGAAATAGAAGACGTCTTGGTCATGTATGCTGAAGTGTACGTCGAGGAAGTACGAGTTGTTGAAAACTGTAGTTATTACGTCTTCTACCACACTGTTCGCGCCATCGGCAACACTAATAAATGCTTTGCCGTCTACTCGGGAGATGAGAACTCCTTCGCCGAATACCCCGCGTTTGTAAGATACTCTCGGAAGCAAGTTTCTCGTGATAGGTTCCATCTTTAGTAATGGCGTTGGTACAAAATCTATATCTGAGAGCTTGTCGTTAACCTAAAATAAAAAGAAATATTAATAAGAGTATATTAAATTCTTAAACATAAATTAATTTACATCGATAATACTCAAGTATTTTTCATATTATTTACCTTTTCTATGATGCATTGGAGTCCGGACATCACACCGAAGTCTGGAGCGAGTTGAGGAGCAGTTACTGATGTCATCGGTTGGAATATCATGTTAGTGATGTATTTAGATCCCATCATCTTGTCCAGGTCGTAACCGTACAGTTTCAACCAACTTCCAAGGCTAGTCATATACGGAACATTCTGGTTTCTATTTATAGGGTCATTATTTTTGAATCTGTATATGAAAATGTCAGTAGGAAGGCTCAACTTTGTCGCGAGGTGTTCCCAACTGGGCGTCATCCACTGTCCCACAACCGGATCGTACAGCCTGTTGTTCAAATAAATTAGGTTTGTGTTGTAATCGAATATGCCTCCGTGGAAATCTACAGGAAGGTAGAATCCAGGATTGCTATCTTTGACAATCTTTCCGAATGGGCTTCTCTTTATTTCTTTAACGATTTCTCCGTTTATATCAAAGACGGCTAGAGGTGAGCCATTGTGATCCGTGGCAACGTAGAACCGTGAATCTTCAGTTTCAACACAAGTTAAGAAATCTCTTTGATCGTATAAGAATCTGACAGTTTTTTCAGCTTTCGGGTAATGCATATGTGTGATTAGATTTGGAGTTTGAGGATTAGTGTAGAAGAACTGGGTAACGTTATTTTTGTCATCTTTCCAGGCAACTAATCGGTTCCTGTTATCGTAATAATACCATGTTTGGAACTTATCTCTTTCGAAAGCGTGAACGAATTGCCCACGTGAGTTATATCTGTATTTCTGTTCTCCTCGTCTAATAACAAATCCACGACCATCGTAGCTACTGAATTCGATGTCACCATATTGAACGACTCTATCGCCAATGTCATAACCCAGATAACGTTTCTCACCGTGTTCAATAACACCGATAACGTTACCATTTTCATCGTACACATATTTCCAATCATCCTCAGAGCCTACTACTTCCATGAGATGCCCATCATAGTTGTAACTGATTCTATCGTTCGAGGTGGTATCACCGATCATCATTTTCTTTGATTTGATTCGATTTCTTACATCATACTCTAATTCTAGTCGGAATACGTCGAAGGATTTAATGTTCATTAGTATCGATTTGATTCTACCGTAGTCGTCATAATCTGTAATGGTGAAATATTGTTTGCTAGTGTCTTGCATAACAGAACGATTAAAAGTGTTTCTAAATATCCTCAAATCGCTTACACCCTCGAGGCTACCTAAATTCTGATTGTACTTTAATCGCAACTGTGGCATTTCTTTGCTGTTTATATTCACATCGATGGTTGAAAGTCGAGCGTTGCCATCGTATTGATATTTGAAGTGGGCATTGTTAAGGCCACTTTTAGAATTGAACTTCATCTTTTCGTCCTTCAATATTCCAGCGTGGTATTTGTAATCTTGTTTTAATTCGTAATCAGGGTCTGTAATTTCTACGTTCTTTACAAGATGCGTGTTTTCATGATAGACATACCTAATGGCAGAAGCTCCAGCTAATATGGTTTCGAGTTTTCCAGTACTATCATAAACATACAAGATTTTACCTGATTGATGAGGGAATATCTTTGCCAAAATATGCCCGTCATCATTATATAGAATTTCATATGGATGCCTGTTCATTGGTGAGAAGTATTGGTATTTGAAGTAACCAAGTGATGTCATAAGAGCGAATGTATGGATATGCCCTCGAGGTGTTGTGAGGTTTTGAAGAGCACCGGAGTCATCATAATCTAGAAGATAATCGCTACCTCTTGGAGTTGTTACTTTTAATGGTAGACTCGTGAACATGTCACGGAAGGAATAAGCTAGAGAAGATCCGTCGCCATATCGTATCTCGTGTAGTCTTCCAGCTCTATCGAAAACATAAGTTTCATTTAGATCTCCCCAACTCCACCGCGTGAGCCTATTGAATCGATCGTATTCAAGTTCTACTTCAGCAAAGATGCCGCTTCTAGGTCCCCATTTGACTGGTCTCGCTGTTCTATCGTAAGTGACATTCAAAAGTTCTACTTTATCATCCATAAATACAGCTACAGTTGAAGTATCTCTGTCGTATTCAAGAGTCAACAGATTTTCGCCATTGACGCGTAATTTGCGACCAATCTGTGCTACAGCTTTGCTTGACTTTCCCTTGTTTGAAAGCAACCTGCGTAAGAAGTACCGCCATTCAAATCGATTAGCAAGGTCGCCTCCTACCTCTGTCCTTTGCTTTGCTGGCACTGGGTAGCTTTCTCCCAAAATCGGGTCTATTTCTGATAAGATTGTATACGGAACGGTATCAGTAGAGATGATATGACCCCATGGCATACTTGAAGATATGCTGCCATCAGTTGAAATTATAGTTTTCTTCTCAGCTTCCCCTACTTTAGTTCTAACTGAGGATCCCTTTATAAGTATAGAAACCGGTTTTCTGTTATTTTCACTGACGAGTACTGTAGCACCTTTGAGGCTGAGATCAAACGTAAGATTGATAATTCTACCCGTTGGTGTTACAGCGGATGTCAATCTGCCAAATTCATCATACTTATAGATGTAACTTCTTCCAGTGCTATCGTATTTGGCCTTTAGTAATCCAGTTGCACCATGGTAATCGAAAGTAACGTTGAAATTATCCGGTGTTCGTAACTCTTGAAGCATTTTCATCCTGGACATTCGCAATCTACATTTCTGGCCCTTCGTATTTTCTATCGAGTTCACTAGACTAGAGTAATCACGTAATAGGAACACTTTGTTGCCGGCGGCATCGGTTACTGTGCTTAATTTGCCATTACTCGTATTTACTGTATACGTGAATACATAATTATTTTCTCCGGTTAAAATATTCTTCGTCATTATATGCTGTCCGAATCTATTGAAAATGTATATCTCTTGCGTGTCAGGTGAATATATTTCATATTCTCTCGCTCCGCTTGCATCGGGGATACTCGCCATGACAGAGCGAATCCTATAGTTTGCCTGATCTGCGATATGAACTATGCCATCAGGACTTACGATGACGGCCGAAATAGTGTTGAACTTTGAATTGGAAGCTAAGAAATGATCAGCTTCAAAACAGTCACAACCTCTTTCTAGACAATTACATTTAGATTCAGCACCAGCGTATAGAGAAATCTTTCCGTCGGTAGTAATAAGGCGAACACGGTTGATTCTTTGCGAATCGCTCTCAGCTACGTATAGATCTCCGGCGGCGCCAAAAGCAATGCTTTGAGGCATTACTAAAGTAGCATATGTGGCCAATTCCATATCATACCCAGTTAACGGCGATGGACAATGTAACGGTCTACCCGCGATCACTTTCACCCTGCCATCTGGAGCCATTTGTAGAATCATATGATCATCAATTATATGCAGACTGTTATCTAAGGGGTTTATGGCGAGTTCCGTAGGCCATCGTAAGTGAACTTCTTCAACGCTCAATGTGCCTTCACACGGAATGGGCTTCCAGTGGGCCCTATGCATATGATTTCCTATGACGGTAGTGATTATGCCGTCTCGATCTACCATTCGAATGTTCGTGCCGTCGGCAAAGTATAGTACGTTGTCAATAGATACAGCAACCCCTTTGGGATACGCTAGTTTTGCGTCTCTAGCCAAGGCCCCATCGCCACAATGAGCTTCGTCGCCAGGAAGGCACCTCTCTCCCGAACCTACGACAGTTTCCCAGTTTCGTTCGGGGTCGCTGTAGTCATCAGTGTTGCGGACTTTTATTATCTGGTGCGACTCTGGATCGGAGATGTAAAGGGTGCCGTCAAGTGGTGATAACGCCATGTGGTACCGATACGACACCCTGGTGGCACTGAAACAGAAATAAAGTTTTTTTTTTATATTACTTGTACGACGCCACACTACTACAATAAACGTTTATTTCTTTAAAAATTAGTTATACTTAAATATCTTTTCTAAGTTAATCTCCTGATAAATAATTATTCATTATCGTAATGTTATATGTGATGAATTAATTTAAGGATCGATAACGAAAGTGAACACGATGTAAAGATCTAAACTACAGAAGATCAAAATTAAGAGGTGGGCATACAGAACTCCATTTGCAGAATCAACTTACTTCAGTTTCACCACCGTGCGTACCGTCCCGTCTGTGCCTATCTTTCTGACGAGATTGAAGTCCCCTACGAAAATGGATCCATCCGGGGCCGCTGCTAAAGCTACAGGCGCCAGCAGTCGCTGCTTGGCCGCAGCTCCGGCGCACTCTCCTCCGCATTCTAATGCACGCTGTCGGCCGTCGCCCATTGCTGTGATAATGAGTCGAGGCTTGTGCTTCAAGTATATATTTGCGCCATCGCCCTTTTGGAGAATGCCTGAAAGTAAGTTAAAGATAAGTAATCCTTGCCATTTGTTAACTCTAAACACTTAACATAGAAGAATAATTCAACTCTTTTAAAAATAAGGAGTTTAAAGTGTTTCATCTCTTTGAAAAATATAATCGATATGTCGCTTTATTGAACATTCAAACGTAAGAATATTTTTAGTTAAATGTCCTTTCTTACCTTCGTGGAAATTATATCTGTGATGAATGTCTAAGTTCCATCCACCGACGTCGGATATACTCATATCGTGACCACTGAGTTTAGTGGTCTGCACATTCCAAATAATGTCCTTACAGTCGGTGTACTGATATCCTACTTTTACTAAAGCTGTGGTGACTCCATATACTCTTTGTCTATATACGTTGAGTCTATTCCAAGGATAGGTGAACTTGATGACCGGATCTGCTTCAAACGTCTTTTCGAATAGTATGCCTTCGATGGTTATCCTCAAGTGGATGAGGGCGAGAGTAGGTGGTACTTTTTCTGGTGTGAGCTGGAGTTGAATAGTCGAAAGGTAGCCGGCTGCTCTCGAACTATGATAGACCAGATTGAGCCCTGTGCCAGGTATTTGAAGACTTTCTTGAACAACCTACAAATATAGAATTAATTAATGCAATGATATATTACGTAGTAATAGTCGTAGGATTAATCATATTATAATTCTAATCAATAATATCGTATTCAAATTCAATTATATTTGTAGTAATCATGGATGTTCTCGTTGCGAGTTGTATCAGGAAGAGAAGAGAAATGGGATCAAAGTTAGCAATGCGATAGATACGAACGACGTTTTATCGCAGGGGTTGAAAAACCTAATAGGTGAGGCTAACTAATTAGTAGGTACTATAAAAGCGGTCGATTTAGTATTCTGGATTTTCTTCAGTTCTCAACGAATTAGCTAGGTGTTTCTAATTAGCTAGCCTACAGCAACTTTTAACCACGACTTTATTTTTGTGTTTACTACATATACGTCATAATGTGATACTGACCTGAGACTCTGCCAATATAGCACTCTTGTCCGGACAGGCACCTTGAAAACCATGCTTCCATGTCGCTAACACTACTGGTTTCATAGCGTCGTAGTCATGAGCTAGACACGCTTGAGGTGGTCCCATGCCCCCCTTTTCGTCTGAAGTCGTCATTATCACTTCGTCTATGATAACCACCTGTAGATAAAATCGCATTCGTCAACAATGGAAGAAGCTAAAAAATCTCACGGTGAATCCAAAAAAAGTTTACAAGTATATTCAAAAATGTACCCCTCTTACCTGTCATTTGCATTTTTCATTTCCACAAAATATGAATAATATTCAGTTACTTCCAACTTTTCTTTATCTACTTAAGGCAACTTAAAAATTCTATTAGGCACTTCCAGAGATAATTAAAAAGTTAAAAAAATAAGCTAAGCAGCTGGTATTTTCAATTACCTTTTCCTCATAAAGTAAGTATTAAAAAGTCACCTAAAAATTGTTGAATTAAGACTTATTTTTTTTTATATAATAATGCTGCTTTAATCGTCGGTTCGCATGTTTCCGGGGTAGCAAAAAATTTAATTGCTCCACACGAAGTTGGTCGAAAGTCGTTTGGATTATTAACGACTGAATCAAGTGCGTCGTGGGTCTAACGCCGAGAGTACCGGTGATTAATATTGCCGTTTATTAATGTTACGTAAATAAGTTTGAATGGAGGCATTTTGATTAGTTTGCTTTAATTTGATTTTTTAATTTTTTGTTCTTAATTAGAAATCTTGTAGTTGATTTTTTAAGACAATATTATCATTTGAAAAGAGAATACTCTAGGTTTTGATTATCATACATATTTATTACTAGCTTTCCGCCAGCGGCTTCACCCGCGTGGTCCCTAAGAACAGTGGATTTGGTTATTTTATACAAACTTCCACTCCTATTTTATCCCTTTGTTTGTTGTTTTTCGGGATGAAATGTAGCTTATGTTCACCTCATATGATGTAGCTTCCCGTAGGTAAAATTTTAAAATTGCTCCAGTAGTTTCGGAGCCTATTCGTTGCAAACAAACAAACACTTAAATCTTTCCTCTTTATAATATTAGTTCAGATACAGTTTGTTGCCATTTTTACTTGATGCATTAAGAAATTGAAAAATACTTAGTAGGTACAATAATAACTTTAAATAGACTCCTTTGCACTTTACATTATTTTTACGCGAGTCTTAAAATGCAAAGGAAGACTATTCATAATTTGTGGCAGTTCATTTTAAACCTTTTCCTTTTTTTCCAGTGTTATTTTGAAAAGAAAGGATATTAGAATCCCACAAATTCAAAAGGAAATTAAAGATCACATCTCGTCGTCAGAGAAAAATTTATTGGTCCACTAACCTCATTCCACGGCACGAAGACAACTTGTGAGGAACGCTTAAACGGTGCTCGTCCGAAGTGAAGAGTAACAGCACCTCCTCCGTTGACGAGGAGGTCAAACCAGCCGTCTTCCCTAGTCAGTGTAAAGCCCTCGAGTGGAGTAGATGTTGATACCCTCACGCCGACTAGTCCTGATCCCAATGATGTTACCACACGACCACGGATCACCGCTGAGCGACTGAAAATGGCCAAGGTAAACCTTTAATGTCTTATTGTGTAAAGTTAGTTTTTATAACTTTATATTCAGAAATTTTGGCTTAATTAGGAATATATAATTAAGAATGCACATTCTTATTTATATATTCCTAATTAAGCCAAAATTTCTGTTTTCGATGTAGTTTTTGTTGATGAATAGTTTTTACTAAGCCAAGAAATACTTTTGATCGTGAATTTTGAAGTAACCAATTTCTTGAATAAACTGTTTTCTCGATTGCATTCCAAATAATGGTAGCTATTTATAACGGTTGGGGTTTCTACTTTGAAATGCTACTAATGGGTATCTACATTTCAAATGCTGTGATATACAATGATCCAATGTCCAAATAACTAATAAATTATTCGATTCTGGTGGGTATCACGTTGATGCTCTTATAAAACAACCTACAAAAATATATCTTCTCTATAATAAATATTAATAAGTAAAAAGCGTAACACAAATTCACAGGACACAACATAAGGTTACGATAAAACATGCAAACACCAATAATAATTTATAAAATATACTTACATAAATTGATAAATTATTTTGCCAATCAAGTATATAAAATCTATTATATGTATATAGTAGATATAGGTAAACGAGCTTTCTGTTCTAAGTGTAACACACAATCTTTTTTATCAGAGATCTTACCTCGTGTTGAAGTGATTCCAAAACATACTGCGCAGCGTAAGAGAGGCCAGAGAAATGACAAAATATGAGTAAGTTTTATCATCGATAAAATATTATTGTTAATCTAAGAGGAATCAGTTAGTATATCAGAATCGTAAAAAAGTGTTAGTTGTTATTATATAAATAAAATAGTTTACATGCAAGTGCCAATCGCTTAGGTAGAAGTTTAGTCAGAAATAATTATTTTTAAATATTCTAAACATAAATATAACTGACGCATAGACTGTGAAAAAAAAAAATTATAAAAGCAACGTGAAACACTCTTAAATGTAAATAAAACATTAGGATTGACTGGGGCACAACATTGCATATTCTTATATAACAGATACTTTATTAATTTCTTATAGATAATTAATATTATAAAGAATTATAAGTTTAACAAACTAACGAATTTTTTAAACACATTTCAATTTTATTATAACTAACATCGAACACCAAATTCTCACCTTTCATTGAAAGTCTCCTGTTTAGCGTAGTTTTGCAGACTACCTTCATCGATGAGGAATTTCATCCTTTCGAAGAAGGAAGCGGTGATTGCAGGCGGTTGTTTCCTTAGTAGAATGTCTGTAGGTTTGGGTGATGAAACGCACAGCTGACTGCCTTTGCAGGAAGCACTATGGCAGCACTCTGGATCTTCACAATCGACTAGGCCGTCTAAACAAAATAGGGAGGTTAGTTATTATTATTAATAGAAAACTATAAACTTTTTTTTCTGGATAATTACTTAAAACTAAGAGTTTACCTTTATCGTTATCTTTGGAATCATCACAAATCTGTTCCTTGAGCGTTGTACAATCAGGTCCGTCCCACCCATCAAAGCATTTACATTCCCAGTGTCCATCATTTGCAACTCTACATTGCCCATGTCCAGCGCAGCCTCGTGGACACCCCTCAAGGGTACAATGACGTCCATTCCAACCAGACACACAAAGACAAGTGCCGTTTTTACATTGACCATGGTCGCTGCAGCGAGCATCGCAGAGTTTAGATGTACAGAATTCACCAGTCCAACCAGGATCGCATACACATGATTCCCCGACACATCTTCCATGTGGTCCGCAATCCAAATCGCATACTTCTGTAATGAAATTATGAAAACTCAATTATCATTAATGTTATACATTGTTATTAATATTTCTCTAATTAAAGAAAATATAAAGTTTACCTTTAGAACAGTCTTCACCAGACCATCTTGCATGACAAGAACATGTTTGTGTGTCAACGTCGAAAGTTCCATGACCAGAGCAGTCAGGGAGGCACTGAAGAGCATCCTTATCCATGGTCGCGCAATCTAGTCCTTTCCAACCTTTCTTGCAAACACAAGCACCTTCAATACAGAATCCATGGCCAGAACATGTTGGATGGATGCAATCAACCTCCGCACAAAATTTGCCTTTGTAGCCGCGAACACAAGAACACTTTCCATTGACGCAGTGACCATGCCCATTGCAATCTGGAACTTCGCACTCATCATGCCGCAAAGAGCATTCTTTTCCTTTCCATCCGGGATTACATTGGCACTCTCCATTGATGTATTCTCCACGTTGACTACATAAGACTGGACAGACGCCTGAAATAGGAAATTTATTAGATTTTCTTTGTAACAAAAATTTAATTTATTTATGATGATTAAGGATTAATAACTCACTTTCACTGCAGTCATCACCACCGAAACCAGGTTGACATTGACAGTGCCCCATAAGACATTCACCTTTGCCGGAGCACCCGTTTGGACAATTATGAGTCATATCCTCAGCCATGATAGCTATAAATGAAATTTCTTGAGGATCGCCATCATCATTGTAAAGAGAAAGAAACCAGTGACCTTGTTCCATATAGTGAGTCATTTCCTTCTTCACTGACGACTGTAAAATAAATGACAATGCTTAGAAGATGGCTGGGGAGGAACTGGCATTAAAAAAATATGTTCATGTAGAAGTAGCAGTGTGATTCATCAAAAGTCTCTTTACTTACATGTGAGGCTCTCGTTGTTCTTGCTTTAAATCCACTGAGAACTTCCAAAAAATGGTACTGAGTATGGGTTGGTAACGCGTTTCTTCTCGCGTACACACCTATTGATGCTCCTCTAGGAATCATGTAGTCGAATTTAACATATGAAGCTTCTGATTGGTAGAACTGCATGTTCCAGTAACTATATGGAGGGATTTCTTTAGATAATTTTTCACCTAAATTAATTTGTATGAATGTTGTTCCATCTGGCGGGAACGTTTGTGCGGGAAACGTTCGCGCACCTAAAATATGCAAGAAGATGTTAGTCTGAGACATTTACATATTCAAATATTTGATTTTCAAACATGCGTTAATGTGGTGATTATTAAAATACATTGATTCAATTACTTGTAAATAAAAAAAAAAACTACATCCACACACATACATACTCTCTAAGCTCTATTAAATATAATACTACCACTACTCGTTCTAAATTAAAATGATTTAATGGAAATTAAGTAAAGCACATGCATTTTTATACAATTATGATACCCAATACCCTGTTACATACATCAGTTAGTAAGTTACAATTAGTTGATTTTTATTTCAAATCCCTAACAAATGTGTCGATGACGGTTAGTAAGTTACTGTTGATTGTAATTAAATCCAACAACCTCACCTTCCAATATAAGAATAGGCGGGGGCTTAACCTTAGGACACAAACAGTCTGAAACTGATGTTGTAGTCATTGTTTCAAAATTCGACTCAGTAGTTATATCTATAATATTATCTTCGGTTGCTGTCGTTTTTATATCTGTTGTTGTGTAATCTATAAGCGTTTCCGTAGAACCACTTTCTAGAGTATAAGTAGTTACAGATTCTGTTGTTTCACTTTCATTGAGGTTTTGAGACGATGATTCAGTTGCTTCAGTATCAGACTTTTCAGTGTAATCTACATAGAAGTCATCATTATTAGTTTCTTCGCATACAGGACATGAGCATTCACAAGTTCCTCCCCAGCCATCTTCAGTATTGTCTGATTTTTCTTTAGTCGTACTGTCATCGGAAGTAACATTATTGTTGAAATTTGTAGGTGCAGTTGGTTCAACGTCCAGAGGTGTGATTTTGACAGTTGGTATTTCATTACTATCGCCAACTGTAGGAACTTTAACTGTTAGAGAATAAAGGGGCTTATATGTTGCACTATCGGCTCCATCAGCAGAAATTGTAAGGTTAATTAACACGTGTTTTGTGTTAGACATGGGATCGGGAAATTTTGTTTCAGTAGCAATATTTACAGCATCGTTTTCGTCTGCAGTAGTTATTTCTATAGGTTTGCTTGTGATCGTACTATCTGCAGTAGTTGTTTCTATAGGTTTGCTTGTGATCGTACTATTTAATAAGTTAGAATTAGTGACACTCTGTATTGTTTGTGTAGAATTAAAAGTGGTAGTCTCAACATGCTTGCTTAAAAAAGTCGTTGTTAAAGGCACTGTACTAGTTTCTTCTGTTTTTAATGTATTTGTTAATGGAATGACTGTAGTAATCGGTGCCATGGTAACTATCTGAGGAAAATGTCTGGTGTCCTTAGAAGAATTATTGTCGCTATCATGTTGTACTTTATTTAATTCAACATCAGTTGACTCGTCAATGGAAATATGAATGTCATCGTTTACTTCATTGAATCTATTGAGAAGTTTAAGATATTGAAGCTTTTGTATGCCGTAAGAATAAATTGAAGGCAGCCCATCATTTTGCATAGCCACGGGATCATAGGCAATGTCTTTAGAATTTTCGGTTTCCACCGTTAATCGCGGAATTTCTAGTGGTTGTTCAACTGTGGTGCTCAAGATCGCAAGAGGCGTTGACTGAGAAGATTGGTCAACTATTGCTTTTGAATTAGCGGAATTTTCTCTGGTATATGAATCACTGCTATGTGATGATGTTTCAAGCCCAGTGTTATAAACCGTAAGCTCACCACTGTCATAAGCGTTATTAGACACAAAAGCGCTGTTAGCACCTTCCCTGTTTTCTTGATTTGACTGAATGACACTGGTTACGTCATTTGACGACACAGCCACACCATGCAAGGATCTACTGGTGCTCACAGAAGGCGTAGTGTTTAGTTCATGCATATCTACATTAATGGAAGAATCCATGGAAGATACAGAAGGTGATAAAGAAGAAGCATGCCCATCTACACTTCTACGTGGGCGTAAGTGCTTGTCACTATTACCTGAGCCAGATGCAGACGAGCTCTGGTGCGGTCTCGCTAGAGATTTGTTATTTGATTCGATCGTCGTCGGTTTAGATGCTGAAAACATTTCTGTAGATTCACCAACTAGTACTGTACACGCTTTCGAAGTCTGATATGACCAGTTCACAAAGTATGAGGCTGAAAATAAAAGAAACGTAAAAACTTTAACAATTGTGTAAAGTAATTAATTTTTATTAATTAATTCTATAATAAAACATATGCAAGTTATATAAATGGAATCTATAAGTAAATGCAAGTACAATTTATATAAAAGTAAATAGTATTCACCTGTCATATATGAAGCAATGGCTAATAAAAGTACGAAAAGAATTATAAACACTATAGCAGTGCACTTCCAAGAGCACCTAGAGGACAGTCCCTTCCTGAAATGGAAGCGCGATGCTGTGGGGGGAAAGTGGGAAGCACGCAGGTTGTTTCGAACGGGCAGGACGGGTACGGGCGCACCAAACGCCGGGTGCGCGCGCTCCCGGTCCATCCTCTCTAACGTGCTCTTGTCTTGTTTGCCCGGACTACTACACGAAGAGTTCGATTTGTAATCCATAGACGGATTCTTTTGTATGTCCCCTGTGGACAATTTTTATTTTTATTTTATTTTGTTTTAAATATCAATGTATTCCGAAAATGTTAAGAGTAGCTAAATTGGTGAGCGCTTATTGGGTCTGCAATTAATACCCACCAAACAACACTAGGCCTCATGCTGAGCTGTAGTCCCTTCCCCCTATGTAATTCAACTATTCATATGAAGGCCTGTGCCCCAGCAGGAGGTAATAGGTTCATAATGATGATAATTAACAGTGTCTAAATCTGACCTGAAGGCACGTAAAAGTTGCCGGAGGGTGTGCGCACGAGACACGAGGGCTCGAAGTCCGCCAGGTCAGCGGGGTTGCCGGTGATGCGGCCGTTCAGCCGAGACATGGTCGGGTTTCGTGGTGGCACATCGGGCGGCAGACGAGATCCTTCAAGGAGACAACCTGTGGACAACAAATTACAATCTATATTAATAATAATTTTATTGCAATTTTACAATGATAAATAATATTTGTGTTCGAAAGCAGCCAGTAAAATATAGCAATAAATATGTGTATATTTATTTTCAAGTTTCTTTGTTTGAAATAATAAGTAGATAATAAGAGATTAGTATGTAGTAACGTATTTAAAAATATTTTAATAAGCTTAAAGTTCAATAGCGATTGAACATTTACCTTTAAACTGTTTTTATTACCAAAGGCAACCTCGTTTTCAGCGCTAAAAGCTTTAACAAAATTAATCAACTGCCGCGCGGTCGGAGCATTAGCAACAGGAAAAATTTAATTAATTCTATCCACGAAAATTCACAAGTTGAAATTCAATTAAGGGGCAAATATTGCTCACCGTAATTGCTCGTAAACAAATAGGAGCGTGAATCGGCCCATGCAAATGGATCAAAGATCGCGTGTTCCGGTAGTTAGTTATAAAGGAAATATATTAGACCGGGAGCCATTGCTCAAACCACGGGGCGCGCCGCTAGAGGCCTCTCCCAGCGCTAATACAACCTAATGGAAAATCGAAGAATTATCTGTGGCCGCCCGCGAGCGTACCCGCCAACTTTTGATCCTCGACAAATTTTAAGAATTCCTTCGAGCGTTAATTAATTTATTGTAGCGGTCGATGTAGCCGCAAGAAAACTCAATTAAATTTAAAAGGGTTTTTGTGTTGTTTTTTTTTCAAGATCGCCCCCAGTTTTATTGCTGAAAAGAAAATGGCGAAGTTCCCGATAATATCGTCAGCGGCTGGCCCTTTGTGAGCACTCCCTTTGAAACCATTCTCGAAGCAGTAATTAGAGATAAATGAAGAATTTAAAATTTCACCCAAGAAAATTTTGTATTTGTATATGTATACAATTACAATCTCCTTTATGACGAGAAAGACCGAAATAATCATGAGCGAAAAAATTGCTCAACAGTCACAACGCGAAATTCTTTGAATGCGTCTGAACAACGCGTTGTAAGCTATTTTTACGCTCAATGAGCGATTTCAATATGAAAAAAAAATATGGATATTGGCCGAAAATAATTTGTATAAGTAATAAAATGGTTAAAATAGTAATAGACGGTAGCATTTATCTAGGGTGGCCGAAGGTTAGGAATAAACGCGTTCTTACACGGTAGGGCGATCTATCGGGCCTCGTTCCTTCGTCAATGAAAAACTAAATCACCAGATCCCTCACCTAATTTAAGAGGACAAGTATAGTCATTAATACACACGTCAGCCGTCGTGGTACTACAAAATGTGGCTCATTTATATCCCGTCTCGGGGCTTGGGAATTATGGTAATCGGACGGATCGTGTCTTTTGTCTGTAATGGTGGGTAATTACTGAGGCACCTCTAGGGGACACTTCGTCTGCTGGAGGGGGCCCTGGGGCCCGAGAATTCGACACTCGTTACGCGAATCGTCTCAACTTTAAAAAGGGAACGCGATTTTGAACGCCACCTAGGGATTTGTCGACGCGTTTAGAAACGAACTTTTTCTGTGTTACTTTTCCAAAATTGCCTTCCGCGAGTCAACCTCGTCGATCTTTTTAGGTCCTTGTTTACGTAATGAGAGTGCTCCCTTTTTAGGTTTGACCCCGGTTTCCAATGTTGTATACATATTTGTAGACTCCAATATGCATAAAATTGAATGACAATCAGATAGAGACCACTATCCATATTCCGGTTCGTTTATTTTTATATTTTTCGAGCCATCTGGCATTCGCTTTGCTGTTTCCCCGTTTAGAATCCACATTTTGCCCCAAGAAAACCAAAGCTAGCTTACTTATTGGAAGATAAAGGGGGTGTGTTTCGGCTCATTTGCGGTCGAGCTCGGCGCGATCAAACGTGATTTCTTATTGGGAGAGGTAAATAACCAGACGGTGTTTGTGATAGAAAAACTGCGGTTTTCCGGACCGGAGCCGGTACAAAAAAGGAGTTGATTCCATCTGTTTGTTCTGTGGTACAATGTAACAAAAACAATATATCATGTGACGCTCATTTTTATCTAAATGTACATATAATTTAGAACACCGCGTTGTGGCACCATACGAAAGAATCATTTATACTGCAGACGTTAGAGTCAAACTGTCAAGCATATATCTCCTCCAGGTAGTTTCATAACTTGAGACGTTGATGTATGAGAGATGTGAGCTTGTGCATGTGTGGAAAACTGACAGAAGTGAGGCACATTTAGGCAATCTCACAACGCAAGAGACGGCGACACGTGCTTACAATCTTAAAGTCGTTATCCGAAACATACCCGGAGCTACTTAGAATTTTACCTCTAAATCTGAATTCGAACATGAATCGAGTGTGGAACAACAGTCCTTATTTAACAGAAGGCCTTATTAATGCAGATTTGAATCGACTACTAACACACTATGACCTCTGCAAAAACACTTAAGCTCTGTTAGCGCTGGAACCAATTCCCCAATTTCAAATTTTAAATTTAGCATCGAAGTTGTGCCGCTTGCTAGTGCAATATTTATATGAGAGAGTAGCGCAGCGATTTATAGTTGGGAACAATCGAGAACTTGGTCCGGCACCGTCGTGACTTCGTTTTAATTAGTACCCATTCATCGTGGAACAATTGAGTCCTCGAACAAATCCATTATCGAGAACTTTTCGATAGTCCGAAAGAGGTGTATTCAAAGTTTGCGATTGCAAAGGTATAGATCGAAGCGCTTTGCCGATTTTGACGTTATGCTCCCCTTTTCAAAGAAAGGAACTACTGGGCCATATAGTTCATTAACTTGCCTTGATATTTGACTTATTGAATAAAATTAATAATGTGTTTGTTATTTAATATTAATGTCACTTAATCCAGTAATCATAATTACAAACTATTGTTTTCCGGAGACTTCGCACGGGTAAATTATAAGGCTATAATTTACCAAGGCCTGTCAGCCCCATATGATGTAACTACCCGTAGCTGAAACAGTTTTTAAAATCGGTCTAGTAGTTTCGGAGTCTATTACATGCAAACAAACATACAAATAATCAAATCTTTCCTCTTTATGATATTAGTATAATTTACAAAATAACAAAAGGGACCATTGTTTTCGTAGCTGACAACACTTTCATTAAATAAAGGATATTATTTAGATTTCTATCAATTAATTATGTCAATAATTTGTTAGAAATCCAATCATTCCTTCATCTGTATCTAAATAAAGTTATGTTTTGTTAGAAACTTATGTTATAATCTTATTTTTATCTTTTCATGACATAATTTCAAGATAGTTGGAAATTATGTCATTAAATTAGAAAGGATGAATCCTCATGAGCAACATCAATGTACAGCTTAACAGCATTCGGATGTAGAATGTAAATGTACAGTACAAGCAATGTATCATGTCAAGACGCGGGGCGGCCTGCCACGCTGATAAGATTACCAGACAAAGGAAGTCCACCCATATCACTACCACCATGACCGCTAAATGCGAGCCTTCATTTACTACCCCCAACCGGCGCACATCTAATCACAATTTTAACTCCCAAGCTTTAAAGTTCACATTGTCCCACACCGTCTTTATTAGTGTCCCGACGTCAACGTCTGCTTCGTTAAAGGACACTCAGCTTTATTTATGTTGACATACTGGCAATGTTACCTTATTTGTTGCTGGCGATCACTATTATCCAAGCGGAGAATTAGACCGTCTGCTATTGTGGATAGAGTCGAAATTGCATTTCAACGGTAATGTCTCAATATATCGCGCTGGGGGAATGTGGGCCTTTAGCTTCGGGCTTTGAGTTGTTTTTTCTGGTCGCGGATATATGGAGCGGTTAGCCGGGCGGTTTCCGGCCTACGATAAGGAGACGATGTTGCTAAGTCGGTTCGTCACGCGACCTGTCTTCTAATTTATGTTGCGCTGATTTCAGATAATATAACGCCAGTATACGCTACCCTTCCTTAGGACTGGAGGAGCCCTTTTTACTAAGCCGTTATGTAAATCTCGTGCTGAAAACATCCACAGTAATACCCATTAGAGATACACTCCTGATATTGCATAGCGCATAGAGGTCCGGTCGCTTTACATGCATGCATTAGGTCCATTAGAAATTGAAATCAAGTTGGTCACTTGGAACTGAGGCGAGGAGACCGTTAACCATTATGACGTAAGTTGTTTTCTATATTTTTTTTAGTAGAGGGAAAGAGTTATTGTCGCGTTTTTTTAAACGCTGTTGTTTGTGGATGCAGTTACGGATGTTAGATTACAGGCTTGATAATAAACGGGAAGTGCAGCGTTACAGCTCGTTAGCAGCAAGCCTTCATTAGAGCTCACGGAGGAGAAAAAAATAAAGTGTCGGAGGCACGCGCCGCGTAACTGAATATCCTCGACGTTTCAACATCTGCTAATGGTCGAAACAACGTCGAGTTTCACCATTAATCTCACTATCTCATTGTACATATTTCTTTGTCTAAATCCATTAAATTAATTACGGCCATTCGAGGAGCCGACTTCGTATTTATTAGGCTCGTTATCATTCATTGAATCTTCCGATAGACGAGTAGTACTCGGTAAATTGGAAGAAACGTGGAGGCCACCGTGATAGATGCCCGACTTACACGTAAATGGGGGGCCAAATTAGCTGTCTGCCGAAGAATGCAGTTACGCCGGTGACTGATTCGCACCGATGGATTTGGAGGGGAAGCGATTCGGGGCGTCGCGAAGATTCATAGGTGTCATCGGGTCCAGCGATGAGGGCCTCAAATTGAGAAATTCTTCTCGGTATTGTCATGGTGAGAGGGGTCGAGCAGATAGTGACTTCGATTGTGTTCTAGGTTTGGAGTGGAATGTCCAGCGAGCAACACGGTACAACTGAGTCTAGTTGACTGTCAGATAGCCGATAACGTCTCAACTTCATTAACCTTTACCCGTCTGCGCAGGCATTAATTACGCTTAATAGAAACAAACAAAACGAACTTCCACAGATAAATGGGCCAAGATAGTTATTTAATTGTCTTATCTACTCGCGTACCGGGTGGCATAATAATGCAGATTCATTTGCCGTTTACGTCTTAACTTTTGTCAAAAGTTTCGTTTCGGTATCGGCTTCCCCCTTTACTAATGAACGATTCACAAACAAGATTGGAGTCGTAAATTAATGTTTTGTATAATTGGTCCGACAACAGCGTAATTTGGGAGTGTAATCAAAGGTTTGACGTCTAAGAGTATCATCACCGAATGCGCGCTCTGTCAAGCATTTTATCAACCTTTGCTATTCTTTAAACACGTTTGTAATAAATATACCTACAATATAGGAATTTCAATCACTCGTGTATAAAACCATACTGCGAAGAGCTGGTGCCTGAAATAGGTATTTTTTACCTACGTAGTTTTATAATGTAGTAACATTATGATTTTAGCGCGCATAGTGTAGATGTGTCAAACAAACCTCTGGCCTGGGTATGGACCCGCGCTTTTTTCTAGGGACGTCGGGCAACCCGATGGAGATTGATGACCCACTGAGCGCCCGTTCGGCTACGCTTTCGCATATATCCAAATTACGCGGTGATGGACGTTTCTTACGGACAACTAGTCTGTAATCAACACGGTGGGTGATTTTCTATAGATAATATGTATGTATTGATGCTATAAGCAAATGATAAATGTTAGATAATAATTATAGTTAGGTATTGACATTCAACTCTGACGCGAGATTTCACTTTCAACAAAGAAAATGTTCTGCGGAAAAATTATAAACAATTTCAACTATGCAAATAAATGAGTGAAATTTCACGTATCCAATCAATATAAAAATCATAGCTGTAGAATTTATTAAGTAACATGAGCAATTTTTAGCTTTGACTCGAAAAAAGTATATAGAATAATGTATTGATATTTCTGTAAAAAGTTTCATATCAAACGCTCCACCAGAGAATCCAACCGCGACATTTAGTTGCTGTCATAAATTTGTGATATAGGCAACTTTATATAAAATGCTTTTAATGTGCAATATAACTCTAAATATAGAGGGTAAATCGTGAAAGGATTGCAGTTTTATCGCGACTCCATTGTGTGGATCGGCCGGCCCAGTAGCACACTCCGATAAAATACACTGCCATTCACAATTTTAACCGTTACAGCTAGCGGATTTCCGAAGTAATGAACCCAAAAAAATATCAGATTACCGAATTACGGCACGTTAAGCGTTCACTATTAACGAGTTCTTTATTTTGGTATGTCAATAAAAAGTGTTCTTATTAAGTTAAAATTTACTATTTTTGTTTCTAGGCCACTATAAAATCTTGTTGCAGGTAGTCTAGAATAGATTTTTATAATAGAAATTGGGTTACTAATTATCCATCTACATTGGTCGATAGTAAACAATAAGTTATCTTTAAGCTCCGTGTTATCGTGATGTAAAATATGACTAGTAAATAAACACAAATACTTTACTTTAAAAACCAGAACACGGAAACCAGCATATTTGTAAGTTATTCCAAAATGGATTTACATCATATTAACATAACTATAATAATTCTCATCGTCTACTGAAAGGCCAGTGTAAAAAGACTAAGTTTATGAAAATACACTATACTTATTTATTTTAGTTAACAAATTACTTCTTCATTGCTTACCACTTTAAAGATAAGATGTAACTAATACTGACTTTTAAGATTCTATCCTTTTCTCTATTCCTTTTCTCGAGTCCATTGTTACTTATTGGCCTAAAGGTTATTTTTTCTTTACAAACAATATAAGACATAAACTGAACCACGGTGGGAAATAAAATTCTCATTGTTAGGTATTACAGATAATGTTTTTAATCTCCTTAAAAGACTCTCCGTAAGGAGAGTCTAATTAAATAATTATTTTCATGAATGTCGAGTTTGCCCTTAATTCCGTGCTAGATTTGACTCCTGACATAATTCCGATAATAGTAATTATCTACGTAGTTTCGAGCTACTTTTTAAGCAAACTTTTTTATAAAACAAAAAGTGGTTTTCATCATCATCATCAACCCTTTTACGTCTCCACTGCAGGGGCTCAGGCCTTCCTTATGGATGGTTAAGGAGGATGGGCCATGACCCTCCACGCTGGCCCAATGCGGATTGGAGGGTATTAACGACTGCAAATGCAGCCGGGACCAACGGCTTAACGTGCCTTCCGAAGCACGGAGTAGCTCGAGATAATAATTTTTTGGTCACCCATCCCGTGACCGACCCTTGCGAAAGTTGCTTAACGACTACGATCACGGGCCGCAGCGCTAATCCACTACGCCACCGAGCTACTTAGCTAATTAAGCAAGGAAAGTGGTTTTACATACACAAAACTTTTACTTCAATGAATTGAATGCGGAAATATCCCATTAAAGGAAAATTCTTCTCCTCTTCAAATGGACCAAAGACAGTTCCGTTACATGCAATATTATAATTGAACTTTACATACAGAGCAAATAAGTTAAGTTAAAAAGAACTCAGATTGTATAATTAAATAAATATCTAAAAAAAGACGATTGCTTCTTTGATAATTGTCCAAACTCAATTAAAAAGTTTCAAATAATGCTTTTATTACAACAAAAAGATTTTTTTTATCTTCATATCGACAATTCGTTACTTCTATAAGTTTTTTTTTATTAGATAACATCAAATGCATTCCTCAGTTTCAAAGATGAGTAGCTTTAGTTCTCGTATTATGGATTTTTTTTAATGCAGTATGTCTGTGATGCGCATTTATTTCAGAGGCGTCGCGCGTCGAGTGCATCCGACGCCAGAATGAGTGTCATCGTCACCAACACGAAAGGGGTGATGTGGATAAAAATGACAACATTTTCCTTGCTTAATTAGCTTAGAATCCTTGGCGAAGCAATGATCGTCGGCGTTTGATAAACCTTTTATTTTGCGGACATAATCAAAGTTGCCTCATTAAATCAACCTTCAACATATAGTTAAGTATATGAAACTTTTGCAGATGAAACAGACATTAGTTTCACGTGTGAAGTTAATAATAGCACGTCAGGTTATAGAAATCTGTCAATTTTCTCCACTTGATTTTAAACCTTAATATTTTGAAGATAGAATTTAAAACAAACTGGAGATGCATATTATGGTTATCTGACGGGCAGCCATGTTTATAGTGACACTGAAATTTGCAGATACTAATTACCTCTTGTATGAATTATTAAATACTAAAAATCTCTGCATGAGGAACATTATAGAATAGGAGGCTATCAAGTCAGGGAAGGTAGGTACTATACCTACAGATATTGGGTCGCAGTGACCATATCCCTGTGGAGCGGCATAGTGCCAAAACACTGAATCATATGAATTATGTAACTAGCGGTAATCATCTGTTATCGTGAATTTCAGTATGAAAGAAAATACGCGGCATGGAATCGCAAAATCGCGAGCGTTACTCACCGGCTAAAGTGCTGTAAAATCATATCGCCTATGAAATAAATCTGCATCG